GCTGGGGGCTTTCCCAGGGGTCTTCTCCCTGTTCACTCGTTCACTAGCTGTTTCCCCAGCTTGTAGATGTTAAAGTCAGGAAGAAAACTCAGTAAAGCATGCTTCAAGAGTTTCCAATCTAGGTTACGAAGAGGCCTAGGCAAGTGGAAATCTTCAAAACATAAAATATGATGCTGATAAAACAAAACCTAGACCTGAACCTGATCTGGCTGCCTCCAGGTGGGGTCTTTCTGTTTTTAAGCCCTGCTGAGGAAGGAAATCAGTCCTGAAGATTCATTGGAAGGACTGATGCTAAAGCTGAAACTCCAATCCTTTGGCCACCTGATGCAAAGAACTGACTCATTGGAAAAGACCCTGATGCTGGAAAGATTGAAGGCAGGAGGAGAAGGGGATGACAGAGGATGAGATGGTTGGATGGCATCACCAACTCAATGGATATGAGTTTGGGTAAACTCCGGGAGCTGGTGATGGACAGGGAGGCCTGGCCTGCCGCAGTCCATGGGGTCACAAAGAGTCAGACACGACTGAAGCAACTGAATTGAATTGAACTGAGGGTTTCCACAAGACCAGGCAAACGACAGGACACGGTAGGCGCCCAGTTAACTACAATGTGTGTTTCTTATTTTCATCTTGTTTGTACAGAAAATAGACTAATCCTGGGGGATGCAAGAAAGGAAAGAGTGAGAGAAGGGAGGGTGAAGTTGTGGTCCTCTCCTTTTAGGAAAATATGGGAGGGTCCACTTCATGGCAATAGGATTTAATCAGTGACATTTCCTTAAACCCACCTACTTATGCTCTATTAATCTATGACAAAATAGGCAAGAGTACATATGGAGAAAAAATGACTCTTCAATAAGTGGTTCTGGGAAAACTGGACAGCTACAGTTTTCCCAGGTAAGAGAATGAAATTAGAACATTCGCTAACACATATACAAATATAAGGTCAAAATGGACTAAAGACCTAAATGTAAGACCAGAATCTACAAAACTCCTAGAATAAAACATAGGCAGGACAACCTTTGACATAAATGGCACCAATATTTTCTGGATCTGTTTCCTAGAGTAACGCAAATAAAAATAAAAATTAACAAATTTGACCTAATTAAACTTAAAAGCTTCTGCACAGCAGAGGAAACCCTAACTAAAACGAAACGACAACCTATAGAACGGGGGAAATATCTGGAAACCAAGCAGCCAATAAGGGATTAATTTCCAAAATATACAAACAGCTCATACAGCACAAAGTCAAAGAAACAAACAACCCAATCAAAAGGTGGGGAGCAGATCTAAACAGACACTTTTCCAAAGAAGATACACAGATGGCCTGAAAGTACATGCAAAGACGCTCAATACTGCTGATTACTAGAGAAATGCAAATCAAAACTACAATGAGGTATTTTCTCACACTGGTCAAAATGGCCATCATCAGAAAGTCTACAAAAAATAATGCTGGAGAGGGTGTGGGAATATAAATGGGTGCAGCTACTATGGAGAACAGTATGGAGGTTCCTTAAAAAAACTAAAAGCAGAGTTACACAAGCTCCCACTCCAGATAAAACTAATTCAAGAAGATACCTGCACCCCATTGTCCATAGCAGCACTGTCTACAACAGTCAAGACACCGAGGCAACCTAAGGTGAATGGGTAAAGGTATGGTATCTCGCCACAATGGAATACTACTCAGCCATAAAAAGAATGAAATAATGGCAATGCAGCTACAGGGATGAACCTAGGGGTGATATACTAAGTCCGTCAGAAAGAGAAAGACCAATACCATATGGGATCAGTTACACGTGGCATCTAAAAAAAACGCTACAAACGAACTTATTTACAAAACAGAAAGAGACTCACAGACATAGAAAACAAACTCGCCACTACCAGAGAGGGAAGGGGAGGAGAGAAAAGTTAGGAGTTTGGGGTTAACAGATACACACACTATACATAAGAAAGACAATCAACAGGTAAATTCAGTATAGCACAGTATATTCAGTTATAAATAAATGTATATTATTCAATGCATATATGTTATTCATATATATATATTTATATAAAACACTGAATCACTTTGCTGTACACCTGAAACTAATGCAAAATCGCAAATTAACTATAATTCAATTAAAAAAAAATTAAGATACTCTTGATTAGGCCCTGAGTCTTTGGAGCTGCATGGCCTTGACATTTCCACTGGAAGACTGTATAAAAGAGCCCCATCCTACACAGGTGATGATAAAGGATGCGGTTCCTCATCCCTCCCAGCTGTTGAATTGAGAAACCTTGATTTCCCATGAATTTTCCATCGAAGTTAAAAATAAACACCCACTCACTGACTCGATAACACAACTCTTTAGGCAAATCATTAGGGGATGGGTCTTGGGTTGATTGATTTCCTCTAGAAACCTCAAGCTGAGAACTATTCCTTAGGTGTACTTTGGCGATATGCACGTGTGCTGAGCATCTGCTGGAGTGTTTCAGGCTACTGAGACGGGCCACCTGGTCGGAGCTGAGGAAACCCAGCGTCCTCTGCATGCCTGGCTCTCCCGGGGAAGCCACGGAGAGAAGCGCTGATGAAACACACTCAGGGACCTGCCGTCCTCACAGATGCCGCCACGTGACTCGCTGCACTCTTTTTGCCACATGAAAATCTACAAGGACGCATCTGAAAATTGTCCTTACACAAATAGAAGGCTTTGTGGTTTACTATTTAATCAAACACTGTTAGATAATCCTAAGTAGGAACAGATAAAATCAAATGCATCCAGTAGGGAGCAGAGAGTCGCAGGGGATGGCTGTAAGATCAGAAGAGAAAGGGAAGGGGAATAAATGGGATTAGAGAGTAATAACCAAACCATACATGGGATGCCCATGAGTACGGCCTGTTTTGCTTTATTTCCCGAATGGAGTAAAATGAGAGCTGGTGTGGGTCCCTCAGCAGAGCAGGACATCCCACATTTTCTCTGGTTGCCTTTAGGGTCATTTGCTGCTAGCCTGCATTACAGAAGGGGATTCTATTTTACCTTAGAAAGCTCCTAAACATCAGAATTTAAATAGGATTTGAACACTTTATTTTTAATGAGAAGAATAAATACATATCGAGTACATGGTGTTAACTTTTCAGACTTATTTTTTTATTGTTCAATTTTCCTGTGTTTCCTTCCACTTATTGATTTAAAGCAATTATTAAGAAGACATGAGTTCACTTTTTTCCTTATTAATTCATTATATTCTTACTTTATAAAATTCGCATTTGTGTCCTATTATACTTAAATACATGGGCTTCCCTTGTAGCCCAGCTGGTAAAGAATCTGCTGGCAATGCAGGAGACCCCGGTTCGATTCCTGGGTCAGGAAGATCCCCTGGAGAAGGGACAGGCTCCCCACTCCAGGATTCTTGGGCTTCCCTTGTAGCCCAGCTGGTAAAGAATCCGCCTGCAATGCAGGAGACCCCGGTTCAATTCCTGGGTCAGGAAGATCCCCTGGAGAAGGGACAGGCTCCCCACTCCAGGATTCTTGGTCTTCCCTGGTGGCTCAGATGGTAAAGAATCTGCCTGCAATGCGGGTGACCTGGGTTTGATCCCTGGGTTGGGAAGATTCCCTGGAAGAAGGCATGGCAACCCACTGCTATATTCTTGCCTGGAAAAGTCCATGGACAGGGGAACCTAGTGGGCTACAGTCCACGGGGTCCTAAAGAGCTGGACACGACCGAGCGACTAAGCACACAGCACATACTTAAATTTACAGTACTGTCTAGATTAACTTCTTAATTATTAAAACCTGGAATGTACAAAGCTGAAAGCCATTTGTCCATATGGAAACATGTCTGTTTTTCAATATCAGGTAGAACTTATATTTTGTTTCTAAAATTTGGAAGTATTTATTCTCCACCCTTTCCCAGATAGCACAAAGTGGCTCTAGCTGAAAATATCTCCCCAGTGAACTAGCTTATTCAACTTAGTCATGGGCTGAAAATTCTTAAGGTATTAAGATGACAAACTCATCTACTGTCAAATGAAATTCTTCTTTTTGACATGTTGTTTTTTGTCATTTTTACTGACTCTTTCATGCAATTCTTAAAATTTCTTAGTGAATGTAAGCATATGACTTTATAGCAAATTTCTTTCCAATAAAATGTTTGAACAAGACCATTTGATAAAGGGCTTCCCTCTTAGCTCAGTAAGTAAAGAATCTGCCTGCAATGCAGGAGATCCAAGCTCGAACTCTGGGTTGGGAAGATCCCCTGGGGATGGAAATGGCAACCCACTCTTGTATTCTTGCCTAGAGAATCCCATGCTCAGGGAAGCCTGACAGGCTACCGTCCATGGGGTCGCAAGAGTTGGACATAACCTGGCAATGACACTACCACCATTTAATAAAAAAATCCTCACTCTGTATCACTCATTTCCACAAAGGTTTCTATTTCTCATCATCAACAAGAAATATATAATAATTTGAGTGGCTTTCATCTGAATGATCTCAAATAACAAAATTACCTTTTAAAAAATCTTATACTAGACAAAAAGCAGAATCCAATTCACTAAACTTTAAAGGCACACGTGGACACAGCTGAATTAGACAAGGGAGCCCAAGTTCTCAAGGGACACTTGGGACCACTGCTCAGACACTCTGCCTCTGGAAGAGTTAAGGAGCCCTGGGCTCCTCATCAGCACAAGATGAGGGCCGGTATAGCGTGATGAGGATCAGGGCATGTGATGGGGACCAGGGCGTGTGATGGGAACCAGGGTGTGTAATGGGACCAGGACCAGGGCATGTGATGGGGACCAGGGCGTGTGATGGGGACCAGGACCAGGGTATGTGATGGGGACCAGGACCAGGGTATGTGATGAGGACCAGAGTGTGTGACGGGGACCAGGGGATGTGATGGGGACTAGGGCATGTTAAGAAGACCAGGGCTAGGTGTTGAAGACCGGAGCAGTGTGTCCCATGGCCCGAAGATGCCTGGCACCTCTGTGCCCATCACTAGGTCAACGGTGGGACGTGACTTACCTCCTCCACAGGAGACAGAGCACTCGGAGCGGATGGTTGCCCACGTGTAGCTGGGCTGGGCTCCAAGCTTCTTCTCAACCCCCGACCTTGGCATGGAGTATTCCCAGGCAATGCCTGGGTTCCTTCCCTGAAACAGAAGCTACAAAATGAAAAAGGGAAAGAGAAAATGAGTTATAGCAGGACCAATATAGAGTAGGTAACTTGGGATTCCCTGATGACTCAGCTGGTAAAGAATCTGCCTGCAGTGTGGGAGACCTGGGTTCGATCCCTGAGCTGGGAAGATCCCCTGGAGGAAGGCATGGCAACCCACTCCAGTATTCTTGCCTGGAGAACCCCCATAGACAGGGGAGCCTGGTGGGCTATAGTCCATGGGGTCACAAAGAGTCAGACACGACCGAGCAACTAAGCACAGCACAGTACCAACATATAGAAGGTAACTTGTTTTAAGCTCTTGAAACATTAGTTATGTCAATAAAAAGATGATTGTAATATTAAACTAGACTCAAATACATCTATAAAAATACACAGACATTTGATTCTTTTTGCTGTATGCAGTATTCCCTGCATAGTCTTTGCAAACTAACAAAGGCATCTGGTTCTTTCCCTGGGTGTTTCTTGGCAAGCGAGCCCCAGCCATCCTCCCCAGCTGAGCAAATCAGAAAGTGATACCTAAAAAGCACCTTCACAATTCCGAGTGAGTTCCAAACAACCAACAATTGAGTGCATCTCTTCTCTGCAGGATGGGAGCTAACTCTGAGTCCTTCTCCGGTGACGGGATGCAGAAATGTTCTGCTTACTGACATGTCCCGTGTGGGCCCAGGAGGAAAGATGCCCTCTCAGGCTAGGCACACCTGTGAGCCACACTTAGCACACGAATTCGCACTTGAACTCTTCACCTCCTAGCTGGAAACCCAACCACATGGACCAATTACCTTTTCTTCTTAAAGGTATCTGATTCCTTGATCTCAATGAGAGGCTTTTTTTTCGGGGGGGGGGGACCTCGCCATTAGCCTGTTACTAGAAACCCAGTTTCTGAAGCCTTCACTGCTTCTTAATGGGAAGGTCCAGTGGATGAAGTCACTGGACCTTCCCTGACTCCCCAGCAACACAGTCCCGTCCCCGACAACACAGCTCAAGTCTAGTTGGGGAAGATGCTGTAGGACAGGGATAAAGCCTGGACAGGTGGCCGCACTGCAGGCCTTAGATCTGCTCTTCCACCTGACATCCTGAATTAGGAAATGGGTTCCCAGTAAGCCTCGATCACTTTCAACAATGACCTGAGTGTTAAAGCTAAAAAGGGCTTCCCAGGTAAAGAACCTGCCTGCCAATGCAGGAGATGAGGTTTAATCTCTGGGTCAGAAGATCCCCTGGAGGAGGAAATGGCACCCCACTCCAGTACTCTTGCCTGGGAAATCCCATGGACAGAGGAGCCTGGTGGGCTACAGTCCGTGGGGTCCCAATGAGTCAGACACGACTGAGCACACAGGCGCATTAAAGCTAAAAATGAAAAAAAAAAAAGCCTCAGATGACGGGAGAGAAATAACCAAGGCAGGAATCCAGGGTGAACACGTCTATGAAGGGGAGGTGGGAGCAGTCCCAGATCGAGAGGGGAGACGGAGGTGGGACGTGTGGAGATGAGGCATCTCTCGGGATGACGCAAGGACAGCAGGACGGAGCTGCCAGGCCCACGCCGCAGGTGGAGGGCACCTAGGGGGTTCACAGCTGCACACACAGGTGCAGGCTGAGGGGGCAACTTCTGAACCAAGTTTTTCCTTTAAATGTGCACAGAAACGTAAAGATGTATGAAATTAGCGTGTCCACTGTGTATTGCCACCATCTGCCTGGTCCCAGGGGGACGAATTATGTTGTTAGAAGTTGCTCACACGTATCTCATGAGCCTGTGCTGTCTTGGGTAGAGCACAGAGGGGCTTGTGTAGGAGCCGAGTGTGCAGCCCCCTGCCTGGCGGTGGGTTCTCACCTCACTCCTGTTTCCACTGGACTCGGGAGAATCCTGATCCCGTCCTAAACACAGGCACAGACAGAGCCACCCACAGCGGCCGCTTCTCACAGCCGCAGAGCTTAAGGAGAGAAGCAGGCTTAGGTCACAATCCACTAATAAAGATGGAAAACCCAGGACTGCAGGATGTGTGCCCTTACACATCTCACCACGCGTCTAGAGACGAAAGACGAGTGGTCCACTGGCCCACTCAGTCTGTGCACGGATTAGTCTTGTTTCCGAGACACTATCTAACTGCAAACAATTTTCTGTGGGTGTGATATTTCGCCAACATAGCCTGGAACCTACAGGAATGCCCCAAGACCGCCCCCGTCCGAGCCCTGAGAGTAAGAGGCTGGGGTTTACCTCCACGATCAGGGTTTCGTTGGTTGGTCCAGGAGAGGTTAAGCTCTCAGGCTCCTTGTGGGAACGTCTGTAGTCAAAGGTGGTTCCTGAAAACTTGTACTGGCCGGGCCAGTCCACCGCCCAGCGTCCGTTCAGGTAGTACTTTTTGAGTGCATTTCGCACAGAAATGTAGGAGGTAGATATATTCGTTTCATAGATGCGGATGCTCCGGGCTCCGGAGGGAATGGTGACCACCTGGTAATACTCTGAGCAGAGGAAACCGGAGGGGAGAGGGCGGTGTTTCAGCAGAGGGGGTTCACAGCTGCACACACAGGTGCAGGCTGAGGGGGCAACTTCTGAACCAAGTTTTTCCTTTAAATGTGCACAGAAACGTAAAGATGTATGAAATTAGCGTGTCCACTGTGTATTGCCACCATCTGCCTGGTCCCAGGGGGACGAATTATGTTGTTAGAAGTTGCTCACACGTATCTCATGAGCCTGTGCTGTCTTGGGTAGAGCACAGAGGGGCTTGTGTAGGAGCCGAGTGTGCAGCCCCCTGCCTGGCGGTGGGTTCTCACCTCACTCCTGTTTCCACTGGACTCGGGAGAATCCTGATCCCGTCCTAAACACAGGCACAGACAGAGCCACCCACAGCGGCCGCTTCTCACAGCCGCAGAGCTTAAGGAGAGAAGCAGGCTTAGGTCACAATCCACTAATAAAGATGGAAAACCCAGGACTGCAGGATGTGTGCCCTTACACATCTCACCACGCGTCTAGAGACGAAAGACGAGTGGTCCACTGGCCCACTCAGTCTGTGCACGGATTAGTCTTGTTTCCGAGACACTATCTAACTGCAAACAATTTTCTGTGGGTGTGATATTTCGCCAACATAGCCTGGAACCTACAGGAATGCCCCAAGACCGCCCCCGTCCGAGCCCTGAGAGTAAGAGGCTGGGGTTTACCTCCACGATCAGGGTTTCGTTGGTTGGTCCAGGAGAGGTTAAGCTCTCAGGCTCCTTGTGGGAACGTCTGTAGTCAAAGGTGGTTCCTGAAAACTTGTACTGGCCGGGCCAGTCCACCGCCCAGCGTCCGTTCAGGTAGTACTTTTTGAGTGCATTTCGCACAGAAATGTAGGAGGTAGATATATTCGTTTCATAGATGCGGATGCTCCGGGCTCCGGAGGGAATGGTGACCACCTGGTAATACTCTGAGCAGAGGAAACCGGAGGGGAGAGGGCGGTGTTTCAGCAGTGCAGGGCCAACCCCAGTGCCCGCGGCTCTCTGTGACCAGCCCTTGGGGATCAGAGTTTGGAACCTGGAGGTCTAATTTGGCCATCCAGTTCCATGAATCCTATAAAGGAATTGGGTTTTTTTTTTAAATTAGAGCAGAATTATTGTAATATTCATGGTTTCTAAGAACCGCTTTGATTGAAATAACCCAGCAACCGCTTCTAACCAAAACAGAAGGTCTGAGAAGCAAAGCAGGCCAGGAGTCACATAGGGCTCTCTGCCTATTGGCTATTCTCATTACACTCCGCTCCTTCCCACCGAGGGCCCCTTTCCATCTCTGCTCAGCGGGCGGGCGGACCCCGTGGGCGGACTCACGGTTGGCGCGGTGCTGCTTGGCGTAGAGGCCCTTGTGCGCCGTGCAGCTGGAGTTATTGCCCCGGCACACGCCACAGGCATCTTCCGTAGCATCGGACCCCAGGATGTCGTCACATCCCACTTTCTGTGGGACCCACGAGGTCACGGGTCATTCATGAAAGAAAAGAAAACAGGAGCGAAATCACAAACCATTTCCCGTAGAGCTGAAAAGTTTCACCAACACGGGAGAGTTAACAAATATTTATTGGATACCCAGTATGTGCACTGTGAGACTGTCAGGCTATGCTTCCGTCCGGAGGAGGAGGCCTTCTCGCGGCAAACACAGCCTGTCCTCTTTGGCATTGCTACTCGACTGTCCTGTCTGAAGCCCTGAATTACACCTATCGGATTGTCTTATGGGAGATGTGGGTGAATTTCAGCCCGACGTGAAGCATTAAGCACAAATGACAAGCGAAGGGGCCTCACAAGGGTCCATTGGAATTCACCTCGTGCTTCTGAATCATCTTGTGTAGAGACAAAGAAGGAATGTAGACCATGGGACAATTATTTCCAGCTGTAAATTATAGCATGTTTGGCTACGGTCTTAGAATTTTAGCAGCTCTTTATAGATTCTATGATGCTTGCTAGTCTTACATTTCCTAACAAAGGATATAGGCTACCTAGGTTAAAAAAAAAAAAAATCCATTCAGAAATGAAGTAACCAGGGTCCACAATCCCTTGTTTAAAATCCCAGGGCCAGATGCACTTCAGAACTCTGGGTTCTTGGACTGCAGGAAGGTAACTAGCATATTATACATAAGATGTGGGGACATCGATGATGTTTCTAAAACTCACACACTGAGTGGGATAAACATAACTAAAGACAGTCTCCTCAGTTCAAGGCAGCTTTGCAAACAAATTCAAGTTACCTTATATTTTACAGCCAAATAAATTATCCATTTTGCAGCTTTTTGGATTTTAGAATTACAAATAAGGGATTGTGACGCTGTATCACTAAGAATGCATAAGAACAATGAAACANATTCTTGCATCATGTATGTGTGCTCAGTCACATCCAGCTCTTTGAGACTCTATAGACTGTAGCCTGCTGGGCTCCTCTGTCCATGGGGTTCTCCAGGCAAGAGCACTGGAGTGGGTTGCCATTCCCTTCTCCTGGGGATCTTCCCCACCCAAGGATGGAACCCAGGTCTCCCGCACTGCAGGGGGATTCTTTACCGTCTGAGCCCCCAGGGAATCCGTGTGTGTGCTGCTTTAATCTAACCTCATAGTGCTGGTTCAACTTTACCGGAGCCACGGTTTACACTTTTAGAGAAAATCAGATCTGGGACCAAGGTCTTTGGACTCCACTGAATACAGACATTGAGTTACTTCCCTGAAAAGCCCGGTATTTGTCATTGCACATAGCCCCCTCCCTTTGAGTATTAATGTAACGGAACGCTCCCACATCTCACTTCTGTGCATGGCGAGAAGCTCAGAGCTTTGGGTCCACGCAGCAGCCCGTTTCCCAGCCCGTGCCCTGAGTCCCCTCCAGCAGAAGTGAGGCTGTGATCTTCCCGAGACCCCGCCAGAGCGATGCAGGGGCCCCTGGCTCTAAGCTGTCCCTGGCTTCACTCACTCTGATGCCACCGCCGGGTGACTGCCGTCTGATGCTGCGACTCTGCCGGTCCGCAGTCACAGTGCCTTCCATGGGGACGTGAGGATAAAACCACCCGAATCTTCCGGCAGCAAACGGCCCTTTGCGAGCTCCTCCTCCTCCACTCACCACCCTCAGCATCCCCCAGCTCCTGCCTGCCTCCTCGTTTTCTGACCACTGAACCATTCCTGCAGCCCGTGATTCCTGCACCACCGGCTTCCCCTCCCCGCTTCCCCCACGCCCGTCTTCCGGACCTAGCTCCTTTCCCCAGCGGCCCTGCGAGTTTCCCAGGTCCCCGCGTCTGAGAAGCAGTTTGCCCTCCCTCTGAGCTCTGCACACACCTCCACTGCCACACGGCCTCCTTCTGTGTTCATCTGGCTTTCTCTCTGGGCTGCGACGGGGAGGGAAAGGGTGTGGTTTTAGGTGTCTGGTCTCCCTAGCCCCTTACAGGATGCCTGGCACAAAGCGGACTGTTGGGAGATGTTTGTTGAACGAATGAATGATCATTATTACCTCACATATCCCATCTATACAAACATTACGGCTATCCTCCGAGCATGGAGTCCCATCTGTGACTTTATTTGACAAAGAAAAGAAGAAATCAAATCCTTCTGCGATACAGTAGAGTTTGCAGAAGTCCTGATCTTAAAAAGAAATACACACACAAACACAAATAAGAAAGATACTTAAGCTCTGATCACTTTTTGCTCTAAATGTTATAGACTTTTTTTCTTTTTTTGCCCATAAAAACTCACATACAATAATACATAGCAAAGACATTTTAAAAATTGCCTCTTTCAGCTTTGTTTTCCCCTTCATTTTTAAATTATTTTTTAAAGCTTCACTACTAATTTTTACTCTACTGTGTCCTTTATTGATCCTCGTTCTATACACAGTGGTTGGCACATAGCAGGCATTCAATAAACATTTGTTGACTTGAACTACATTACTGTTCAACTATTTTACTAGTATGATAAACTGATCTGTGTAGAAATGCAAAAAAACCACTGCCATTTTGCAGCAGTATACAAAATTCTTACAAATAAAGTACAATAAAATAATTTAAATAATCACAAAATTTCTTAATAGCTACTACATTTACTAAAACACATAACATTTTTAAACTGATAAAGGGAATAACTTTTGGATGAAATCTCCAAAGAATATTGGTTTTTCTTAATAAATATAATGAATTGCCAAAAATATTGTCACATGGAGAATATAGATCTCATTATGTACTTAAGATTGGAAGATCAAGTTCACACCCTCTCTCAGTAATCCATTTCAAGGATTTATGATTTATATGGCTAATACAAACTTTTGTAGAATTTTTTTTTCCTTTTGTTCTCTTCTCAGTAAAGAAGGGAACAGTTGATAACAAATCTTTATCTGCCTTAGGAGTTTTCATTGGCCCAGGGCTCATATACAAATATGTTACTGTGCAGGATAAGAGAACTGACTGAATAATTCTAAGAATCAAATTTAATATGTGTTTCAATGATCAATGAACGTATTTACTGAAGACTAGGAAAACCAGAAATAGCACACAGATTTTTTGACCCTGATCTCAAAGTTCTTTCTCCTTTATTCTCCTGCCTACTTGTTTCTCACTGGCTTAATTTTTACTGAGTTTGGAAGTAATAACCCAACAAAAAAGGCTTTGTGTAAAACTGCTTCTATTTTCCTTCCAGAATTTACTGATTTCATAAACCTCTCACCATGATAACATTACATATATTGAGATAGTTAAAGTAAGTGCCAGGTGAGATAAGGCCCAACTTATGTATTTCCCATGTATTTCCTGATAATATTCTCAATTCCAAAGAACACGATGATTAGGTGTTCTTTGAATTTATTCTCAAATTATACTACTTGAGCTACTGAGTTCAAGTTATTATAATGATAGGAATAATGCATATTCCTCTCCACCTGGAGAGTAAAATCTTACATACAGTACAAATAAACTTCTTGGTTTCTAAGTTACAGATCAAACCTTTCCAAATACAGTATACTATCTGATTTTCCAAAAGATATGGACATTTTTCTTTAATTTTTCAGCTAATCATTCAATGGGCGATACACTCATTGTCACATCGCCATCAACTACTGTGATTTGTAATTTTAAAAGAATTGATTCATTATCAATAAATCATCTACTTTGAGTGTTTTAGCACTTCTTTAAAGATTTCACGGTATTTTGCACAGACTCACTCTCTGGCTTGCTGTTTTTCTGAGCACACAGCTGTTCAGGTTTAGATAAGATGCTTCGGGGCAGGTAGAACAGACCTAACAACCAGAACAGAACCTGTGACTGGCCTCACAATATTCGGTCTACCTGGACCCACTCTACAGACCATTAGTTCTTTAAAGAGTGAGGAAGCCTCGGCTGCTGCCAGAAGGCATGGTTTGAGATTTACCTTCCACGCGGTTGTACGGCTTCCACTTGTAGAACCATCCTCGGAACCGTTTGCCGTTGAACTCGGCGCACTGCTGGGCGCGAACGTCGACGCTGTTGTGCGGACATGTGTGACTGTTGCAAAGCTTCAGGGTTCGCGTGGGGCCCACGCAAAACTTGCCTCCATGCGATGGTCTGGAATGCAGAGCTCACAGTTAGAAACTTGCCTTTGGACAGCTACTCACCGCTCCCTTGAATCGGGCTTGTTAGGGAGAGGGAGTGGGTAATGTTCATGTATTTACTGTCACGAGTCAAGGAAAGCGCCTTTCTAAGAAGCTCCATGCACTTCTTACATACTTACAATACGGGTAGTAGTGTTTTCCCTTTTTATTGGGTGTATTATTCGCAACATTGACACAACAGGTTAGAACTTTGAAAGTGAGTGGCATGTATTTGCTCATCTCCCTGTAGGAGGCAGGTGAGCACCTCTGTTCTCTGGATTTTAAAAAGCAGAGCATGACTAAGGGCAGTGGTGACAAAGCAGAAGTGAGCCTGAAATTCAACTGCTTCACTTTCCAGATGGCAGCTTCTTTCCACTCCCAGCTTCCCTGTGACAAGACCAGGACATCAGATGGGGACGGGATGAGCAGTCATCCTCCACTGGTTGCAAGGGACAGTAAACCCCCCCTTCACCCATAGAATTCAGGCAGGCACCCCAGAAGGGGAGCATCCTGCTGAAGCAGGAGACCAACTGGGTCTCATGCATTAAAGACAGGACTAACAGAAGTCATTTTACTCAGATCAACGTAAGTTAAACAAACAAAGGTGTGCAATGAGGACTGAACAGCCCGTTCGCGCCACTGCACTGAGGCCTGCTGCTAACATCCTTGTCTGCTACAGAAGACACAACGAAGCCACACACTGTGCAGGGAAATCCATTTGATGAAAAACCGAGGCTGTTTTTCTCACTTGAAAAAACTGTTCTTACTGGTTCTCATTCATTCGTGTTCTCTATACTTTTCTCATGACTTTTTCCATAGTTTAGGCAGAAACTTGGTATCTCATGTAAACATGATTACAACTGCGTTCCTGAATATTGCTGTTGGGTCTGTTACTCCTGGGGCTTCCCTGGCGGCTCAGCGGTAAAGAATCTGCTTGCCAGTGCAGGAGACGTGGGTTCAACTCCTGGGTTGGGAAGATCCCCTGGAGAAGGAAATGGCAACCCGCTGCGGGGGTTTGCCTGGGAAGTCCCTCGGAGGAGCCTGGTAGGTCCACGGGACTGCAAAGGGTTATACATGGCCGAGAAGCCGAGCAGGCATGCAGTGTCACTTCTGCTGTGTCAGATAGTTATGGGCACCCTAAATCACACTACAGAGACATCCCTCCACAATAAATGCCTGAGTGCAAGGGCTTCCGGACTTCGAATTCTCCTGCAGTAATACGCGAAGTACAGAATTATTTTCACCGAGCTTCCTTCCATGTACTAGTTTGGGAAGTTTGTCACAGAGAGATGGCTCGCCGGTGAGGAGGGAGGTCTGAGCGCTCACCTGGGGTTTGTGCAGAGTCTGTCCCTGTGAGACACCCCTCCTCCACAGGTCCTGGAGCAAGGGGACCAGGGAGACCAGTCTGACCAGTGACCGTGAGTGGGCTTGGGGCCTTCGTCACCATATTTCACACACTGCCCTCCGCGGCACCACTGAAAATTAAACCAAAAACAAAAGCAGTGATATGACTGTGGGTGGAGACTGGCTTCATCACTACAACAATGCTCAGCCCTGGGAACTTGGTGATATAAGCAGACATTAGTCTCCCTACCCTCAGGAGCACATAATGAAAATACATTTAATGATGCTTCTTGTTTTTAATTGAAGTATAACTGCTTTATAACATTGTGTTAGATTCTGCTGTGCCACAGAGTGAATCAGCCACATGTACACATACATCCCCTCCTTCTTGACCCTCCTTCCCAGACCCCCGCCCCTAGGTCACCACGGAGCATCAGGCTAAGCACTCTGTGTCATAGGGCAGCTTCCCACCAGCTGTCTATTTCACACACAGTCGTGTCTATATGTCAATGCTGCTCTTCTCTTTTTATTTCCAAAGTCAGCCTTGTTCTGTAAATCCACATGCAGGGAAGATACACAGAAAACTAATTTTCAGATGTCTGTGTAAGCTGCTGGAATCTCACATGTGTAGTCCAGTTTTGTTGCAGGAACATGTAGTCCGACTGTTCACCTCTCAGGTGTGTGAACTCTAACCTCCCCTGGCAACAACACTCTCTTCATCTATTGCTGTCAGAAGAGACTGACTGTCGGACAGAAAAGTCCAGCTGGAGGGTCTGTGTGTCTCAACACCTTGTCATTTCTGTCCGGCGCTTCATGCTTTTGCTCCGAAGCACCTGGGCTGGGAGCCTGGAGGCTTTAAATGATGCCTGTCAGAGGTCACACAGCTTTCTGAGGACATGAAACAACCCACACAGGGCTCCACCTGTCCCAGTGAGGCCGGAGATGCTATCAGCTCCCCTTTCTCCAGAGAAGTGCCCATTGATGTTATTCTGCTAAAGTCCACGTGGTTTCTTCACTTGTACCAGGAGCAAAAGCTACACAAGATACAGTGTGGCATTCAGCTGCATCCGTTTTCTCACTGGGCACAATTGGCATTCTGATGGCAAACACTGTGTAGCAGACTATAAAGTAATAGTTTTAAGAGAGCAAAAACAACCTATCAATATTCATAGGGTCGCTGAAAACAGTTCATGATTCCTTGCAGTGCTTGGTGTCTACTGGATACATTCTCCTTAAGATGCAGAAAACACTGGGTTTTAAAGTCACTGGATAATTCCTCTGTCATGGTCATGTTAAGCCAATACCTTGACTTAAAGCCTCAATGAGACTTGTTTAGGTTAAATTATTTCATTTTGCTTGGGATGTTTATAAATTACTTTAAAAATTTTGATCTAGTTTTATTTTAAAATGACATAAAGGGTTTACATGACATACAAGTTTGTTTTAAAATGACATAAAGAATCAAATTGCCAACATCCATTGGATCATAGAAAAAGCAAGAGAATTGCAGAAAAACATCTACTTCTGCTTAATTGACTATGCTAAAGCCTTTGACTGTGTGGATCACAACAAACTGTGGACGACCTTCAAGATATGAGAATACCAGACCATCTTACTTGCTTCCTGAGAAAGCTGTGTGCAGGTCAAGAAGCAACAGTTAGAACCAGACATGGAACTACAGACTGGTTCCAAATTGGGAANCCAACTCATTGGAAAAGACCCTGATGCTGGGAAAGATTGAAGGCAGGAGGAGAAGGGGACGACAGAGGATGAGATGGTTGGATGGCATCACGAACTCAATAAATATGAGTTTAAGCACGCTCTGGGAGATGGTGAAGGACAGGGAAGCCTGGTGTGCTGCAATCCATGGGATCGCAAAGAGTCAGACACGACAGAGCAACTGAACAACAAAGGGTTTAGGTAATGTTTTCCTGAAAGTTGGAGTTTATTCTTTTATTTTTTGACATAAGCAAATAATTTAGATTAATCATTCCTTTTCTTTCATAAATGACCCCATGTTATTCACATCTTTCTCCATTCTATTTTTTCATTTAACACTATATTCTGCAGCTCATTCCACAGAAGAAGGTGGACACATCCTTCACTCCTTTGTTACAGCAACAAAACATTCCATTAAGTGTATTTCCAACCCATTTCCTTTGGATGAACACTCCCATCATTTCCGGTCTTTTGCTTTTATAATCATTGCTTCAATAATTGTATTGCAAAAACCAGCATCTTTTTTGCTGTTTTTGTCACAGTGTGCTTTTGTAAGATTGAAGTGCAGTTTATTTACAATGCTGTGCTGCTTTCGGGTGTATGGCAAAGTGATTCAGCTATACTTACATAAATATGCATTTTTTTCAGATTCTTTTCCCTTATGGGTTATTATACAATATTGAATATAGTTCCCTGTGCTATAAAGTAGGTCCTTGCTGTCTTTTACATATAGCGATGTGTATCTATTATCATTCTCTTTGGATATATGACCAAGATTATCCTTGAATGACTATTTTTAAAAATTATTTTTAAAAAGTTATTCTTTGTGACTTTGAGGAGAAACCACTACATCTTCTCCCAAGGAAGTTGCATGTAGACACACAAACATAAACATGCATGCAAACAATTTTGAGCATAATTTCTCACAGGTTGCAGACCCGTGCAGTTGGTGAGTGAGGTGGTCAGGGTGAGATCCTTATGTTAAACAGACACACAAAATGTCTGCAGAAGCACTGGTTATATTTCTAAGAACCATCCCATTTGCTCACAGTTTTATATTTTATCGATGACTTGAAAGAAGGCTTTCTCTTGGGCAGTGTGATGTCACCGTGAAGCACACATCCTGTGGTGATGCTGACCACGGAATCCACTGTCACTCTGAAACCCAGTACAGACGGGGAAGCAGCATAATGGGTCATGAAAACTGATGTTGTGGAGGTGAAAACAAGCCCCACATATCAGCTCAGCCAGGTGCCTGACCTGAGCATGGACTCAGGTGCCCCGAGCCTGCCCGGCCTCCTCTGAGCATCAGGGATGATGGAAACCACCAGACAGGGTTGGCCCAGGAACCCAAGGTAATGGCCTAGTCCTTGTACCAAAAGTTATCACAAAGTGAGAGCTGGTTTAATTTTACATTAGGGATTACTGAAGAACTGGAATCTGCTTTGTCATGTATCCAGGCTGTGGTCCTCATCCCCTTGCTATGGATTTCTCATGGCGTGAGCACAGAGAACCCAGTGTCTTTTTCCTGGAAGAGTTATTGGGTTTATAGTGGGGGCTACCGTATGTTTACCCTCTGGATGCTTGTGGGGATACAATGTATATAACGCTCCAAAGACGGCACTTGTCACTAAAAGATGCACTGACCACTGATCAGGTGCACCAACATGCATGTCCACCCAGAACCTCGGTGTTGCATCTGGTGGAGGGGAACAGGCTCCCATTCAGGAGAGAGACGCACAGACGCTGAAGAGCTGCTGTCAGTTATCTAGAGCATACCCACCACCCTGGAACACCCCAAAGTGCTGGGACACTGACTTTTGGTAATGCTGGCTTCTCAGTCAGGACACCTCACGGACACCTGTGGACCAGTAATGCACAAAGACACACAACTAACACCAAAGGAACTTTTACAGGGGCCTCTGATGCTTGTCCCATCCTGCCACTGGGCACCCATGTGATTCTAGGCAGAATACTTAATGCCGTGCAATTCGTAAGGATCCACTCTAGCTTAATATGCACTAATTCTTTTCAATTTGAAGGAAAAAGCTCTATTTGGAAACATAATGAAAAAAATAAATACCAGGGAAAATCAGCAACAGAGGATGAAATGGTTGGATGCCATCACTGACTCAATGGACATCAGTTTAAGCAAACTCCAGGAGATAGTGAAAGACAGGGGAGCCTGGTGTGTACTGCAGTCCATGGGGTCCCAAAGAGTCAGACACAACTTAGCAACTGAATAGCAACAACTGTGCTTTCAAGGTAAACAGAATGCAATGATAATACAGGGGCAGCACCACAGTTATTACATCATCCCAGAAAAATAGTAGATTTTAAAGAAAGCAGGCTGCCTGGAGAGCCATGCCATACTGGTGTGAACCATCACCAGGGCAACAAGGGAGGGCTGCCAATCTTTCAAGAAATCAGCATAATTCTGAAAACTATCAAATTTGCAATCAAGTATGTGCAGGGAGTTGTGATCACCTGCAGCTTAAAGCTCAGATAAACTCCCTGGTTAAAGTGTCAGTCACTCAGTCATGTCCAACTCTTTGGGACCCCATGGACTGTAGCCCACCAGGCTCCTCTGTTCATGGAATTCTCCAGGCAAGAATACTGGAGTGGGTAGCCATTTCCTTCCTCAGGGGATCTTCCTGACCAAGGATAGAACCTGAGTCTCCTGCATCATGGGCAGATTCTTTACCATCTAAGCCACCAGGGAAGACCAAATTCCCTGGTATCCTGTGACAACTGGTATTTCTACACTGCAGTACCTCAGCAAATGCATTTCCTCTTTTGACAAACTGTTGTTGTTCAGTCATGTCTGACTCTTTGTGACCCCATGGGCTGCAGCATTCCAGGCTTCCCTGTCTCTCACCATCTCCCTGAGTTTGCTCAAGTTCATGTCCACTGAATGCCGTCCAACCATTTTATCCTCTGTCACTCTCCTTCTGTCTTTTGAGAAACGAAAAGCATTCTTATTAGACTCTCTTGTTACGGATTAATTTATTGCTGTCTGTATCACTAGACAGATTTAAATATCAATCTTACCCTTGGAAAGTCTGACAATAAAGCATATTAACACGTGTAGGATGAATGGCTGCTAGGTGCTATTCCTAAGCAAATTTACCTCATTTCTCTTCATTTTCTCAGTCAGTATTACAATAATTTAATCTGAAAGCATGTTAACATTGTTTCTTAATACTTTAAACCCTTTCTTTCTGTACTACCATTTAAATATGTTAATAGTGTTACAAGGTTTACTTCAGACTTTAAACTAGATCAATAATATTCAGGCATATGTTTCTTTTTTGTACTTGTTAGCATCACAAATAAGTTCAGACACATAGAATGAAAATGGTTATGGTGACAATTTGGTTCTGACATATTTCTATCTTTATCAATAGTTTTTATAGTCTGAAAAATACAATCGCAGCTTAAATAAAAAGAATTAAAATATCACTCTTGAGTGTTAAAGAGAATTTAATTTTCAGTTTTAATGACAGAATTCTCATTGTTTCCCAGTCAGTAAATAAACTTGCCATCTTATGAATTTCCTCTTTTCCCCAGGACAGCATCTTATTTTCCCAGGAGCAATAGTCAAAAGGGTCTGTTCCACAGTCTTCAATGGATGCTCTGAGGCTTTGTCAGAACTACTGAACACTAGTTCTTTGTATGATTATAAGGTAGTCGAGAGTTTAACATTCCCCCTCATTAAACAGAATCAGCCATCACTTGCTGCCTGACATCAGTGTCTAGTGATTGCAGTTATCTCATCAATGCATCACTAAAAAAGCGAGAAGGGGAGTCCTCTTCATAGAATTAATATAAAATAAGCAATCTTTTGGCATATTATAGATATGATCATATAGATCAGGAAGACAGGCTTATAAACAGGAAGACAAAAGGAGGAAGGATACATGGCTGAAAGGCTGACATCTGAATATGATGTCTGCACCTAAGACAAACTTCTTACCATGTCATGCCCACAAGTAGTGCCTTCTGCAGCTGGCATAAATTTAGTCTCACATTTCCTTCCAATCCGGTGGCACCACAGGGCTTTACAGATATCCTGAAATAGAAAGAAGGTCATTAGTATTACAAATGGTCCACACAGCTGTGATAAAATGTTGTTGTTGTCTAGTTGCTAAGTTGTGTGTGACTCTTTTGCAACCCCATGGGCTGTAGCCTGCCAGGGTCCTGAGTCCAGGGAATCGTTCAGGCAAGAATACTAGAGTGAGTTGCCATTTCCTCCTTCAGGGGATCATCCTAACCCAGCGATCAAATCTTCACCTCTTGATTTGGCAGGTGGGTTCTTTACCACTGAGATACCTGGAAAGCCCAGTGTCACTGAAAAATTTAAGGGAAAACAACTGATATAAATTAAAAGCTAATGTCTACTCAGGAGTAGATATACATGGTAGACTAAGGACCCAGAAGTTTCATGTTCTAGACACTGTCCAACTTCATTCTATCCCCCAAACTCTATTTATTTCTATTTTTTCATCATACATTTAACAAAATTATATTTTAAGTTAAAAATAAAATATGCTTAATCCAGATATTGAAGAAAATTACATATAATTAAAAATTAAGAAATTAAAAACCAATAACACATAACATTTTATAAGTCGCTCTTGCTCCAACCTTTCACTAACCTCTGTAACTCTGAATCCTCATTTCCATGTTAAAGATGGCTATGAAACTTGCTGACATGTCCATTTCTCTAGCCAGTCATGCATTCATTCATTTACCCACCCAGCCACCATCCCCAAATTTTTGATGAAGGTCTAGAATGTGCCAGCTATGTAGCTAGGCATGAGGTTCCTTAAGCAATATGACCAGACCTACTCCCTCAAGAATGGTCTTAGAGGGGGTAGATCCGGTGTAAATTGCCATCAGTGCACACGGAAGAAGTTCCCCTGCTACAAGGGAAAGAACATGGTGCAGGGCAAGCTTGCCAAGAGAAAAGAACTTCACTTGAAGGACCCAGGAAAGGAGTGGGAGAAGATGGACAGATGAGGCAAGTCTTCAGATCAAGTATGGCCCTTTCTGAAGAGAAGGAATGAAGGGGTCACGCAAAGGAAGATGAGAAAGAACAATGGTATGTGCAGAGGAAGGAAGGCCAGCATGGTTGATTCGTCAGCAAAATAAAACAAGATCTGAAGTTTAATCACAATAAAAAGCCTCTCCAACTGTAATAAATTATTTATGCTTTCAGATCCAAAGGACCATCTTGGTGATAGGTAGACCGTTGGGCTCATGAAATGGTGGGACGGCCAGGAAAGCTGGTGGGGGCCGCAGTGTACACGATGAAAACATTTCTTAAATGACCTGTACAACTGTTCTGAATACTTGAACCTGTACTGCACTATTTCCCAAGACATTTCATACCTGCATCTACAGGGTGCTTCACGTTATCAAGAAAATGCAACACAGCAAAACCTGCACCTGGTTCTGTCTGAAAGGTGGCATTTCATGGCGTCTATGCCCCCACTCCCTGTTTCAGACGGCGCCTCAGGGCGTCTGTGCCCCCGCTCCCCGTCTCAGACGGCGCCTCGGGGCGTCCGTGCCCCCGCTCCCCGTCTCAGACGGCGCCTCGGGGCGTCTGTGCCCCCACTCCCCGTTTCAGACGGCGCCTCGGGGCGTCTGTGCCTCCACTTCCTGTTTCAAAGATGCTAGACATGAGATCACACGGGGCTTTCTGCATTGTATGAGTGACCGCTTAAAAGATTTCCCTTTTAGCAATTCATATGGATTTTACCTTCACAAAACTTAATTCTCAAATCTCCATAAATTTATTCATTATATATTTAAAAGTTAAAGTATTTGTTAGAGACACACACAGCTCCCCCCCACCCCCCGCTTGTATCTCTTTCACTGAAACACTAGCTTTTCAGAACATAGAATTTTAAGAAGCTTTTCATGTTTTAATTTGGATATCAATTCATTGCTTTTATTTTGAGCTGTTCATAGTATCTTCCTATGGTTGCAATCACTGTACCATTTTCTCTGTAGCCTGATAGAATCATGAAGTGCTACTGGGGCAAACGGATCATGCCTGGTGGTGAGTGCCATGCCTGGCTCTCATGACATTAATCAGCATGCTACACCAGAGGGTCTCTGTTCTTGGCCAGCATGGTGTTTAGGATCAGAGCCATAAGAAGACCTAAAGGCATCCATAAAATCAGGGGGCAGGGTGTCTGCAAGTCTCCAAAGAGACAACTGGGAAGCTCTGTTTGCATGGGTGATGTCGCGACAGAAAACCAGGATACAAATAGAACTTCCTTAAAATCAGAACTTGTGGACCTAGGTTCAACGTCTGGGTGGGATCTGACCAATCACACACAGATTGCAGACAGTGGTGCAGGGTAGGGGCACCTGCCCCGCAGTGACCTACTGATTCAGGCGGCTGGGCAAGCAGAAGCGAAGGGAAACACACGCAGATGGGTGAGTGAGCCATAAGGGGACGGTTTGCTCCTATGGCCGGGTTAGCAGGAGATGGACACAGAGGCCCAGGGCAGGGTTTGGGCTTCTGAGACGGCATCTGGTGTGAACTGGGCAGGACAGATTGGGCAGGCAGAACCTGGGTATTCTCCTTGTATATAGCTGCCGATCAACTTGTCCCGGGGGCCGCATGAAGTGTCGGAGGTCCTGTGCCCTGCTCAGGGCTTGGCACCCCACAGACACCAAACTCACACCAGTGTCCTTTCTCAATTTCGATCCTGAGGAGATGTGAGCTCAGTCCCAGCTCCCAGCCTGGTTCATGACTGCGGCCGGAGGGAGCCAGTGCTACTAATTCCTGGGACAGTTTTCAGAGATGATGGAAGAGGGTAAAATAAATGGGTTTTTAAAATGTTAAATTATTTTTATGTTTTTGTCATCGATACCTGGAACAGTGCTTAGCACCTGGCTGGCTTTCAATAAATGTTTTGTGAGTGAGTCAAACATCTGTTAGTTTGTTTCTGTGGAAACCTTGGACAGAGTGAGCAGAAACTTCTTTAGTGTAAAATGATCATAACAGTGATCAGTGGATTGTGATCATGAAAACATCTAAGATGATTTAGGAGGGTAACATTATGATATGAAAACACTACACTGAGACGACTGCTAAAAGTATTTTCATAATCTTCTTACATGATAGTTTTGGGTAACATTCTGCAGAATATAGACATATAGATGGAAGACACTAACGAAAGTGACAGTTTTTACGGTTTTCAAGTAAGAAGCTCTCACATAGAGGATGCTGGTGGCAGTCAGCTCACCACTAAATCATATAATATGTCTACTTCAGCCTGTGCCCAGTTTATGCCATCTGTGTATTTCAGCCCCATCCTTCAAACTGCTCCATCCCCAATTCTAGGCCCCCAGGAAGAAATAAATCAAGAGTTACAAAAGCCTTGAAATATATAATTCATGTTACTGTGTTCTAACATTTCAAGAAGTATTCAAGGCTTTGGTGTCTTTATAGATGTAAATGCTGGCCACTTAATAACAATGTGACAGTCTATCCTGGAAAACAAATAGAAACCCTAGTATCTCAAACGATGTTTATATTATTATCTAAACAACTCAAATCCAATTATTCCCTCTTGGTTTTATCATATTTTGACTTTACTGCTAACTTCTGGATTAAGAACAAGGGTGGTATTAAACTAGCATTGTGATCGTTACATTCTTAATAAAATTTTAGGGTCCTCTTGGAACAAAGATACTATTAAATCATGGTTCCAGGAATAGGAACTTGGAATGCAGTTAAGTGCTGGATGGGGTGGGGCGGGCACGGGAGGAGGGGCATCCCAATTTACCAACAGTACCCAGGACACTAAGGTGAGCAAATTTCCAATTCTCTTGTGCTGCACCTCAGATCATAGGTTTAAGACACCAAGCAATGCTGATGAAGCAGAATAGGAACTTAACAAAGACACAGTGTTCAAAATAACTAAAAATGGCATAGATGATCCTGCTGGCAAAGCAGAGATAGAAGGAACAAACGAATGGACACCGAAGGGGGAAGGGGGGCTGAATGAACTGGGAGACTGGGACCAACACATATACATTACTGGTCCTGAACGAGCATACGCTCGCTTTCATAAAGTGGGTAACTGGTGAGAACCTGCTGAATAGTGAGAGCTCAGCTCAGTGCTCTGTGTCGACTGAAATGGGGGAGAAATAAAAAAAAGAGAGAGAGGATATGTGTAAACATACAGGTGGTTCACTTTGCTGCACAGTAGAAAGTAACACAACATTGTAAAGCAACTACTGTTGTTGGTCAGTTGCCCAGTTGAGTCCAACTCTTTATGACCCCATGGACAGCAGCATGCCAGGCCTCTCTGTCCCTCACCATCTCCCAAAGTTTGCCCAAGTTCATGTCCATTGCATCAGTGATGCCATCCAGCCATCTCATCCTTTGAAGCCCTCTTTTCCTTCTGCCCTCAATCTTTCCCAGCATCAGGGACTTTTTCAAGGAGTCAGCTATATCCCAAGTTGTTGTTGTTGTTGTTTTTTGGTTTGTTTGTTTAAAAAGGTGAACAGGAAAAAAAAAAAGAAGAATGCTTAGGCTCATGTAAAGAGTTCACTCTTTTACCTTTGCTGCTAAGGAACACTCTTTAACAAAGGCTCTCACTTGCTGTTCCATCCCATAATTTAAGAGTTATCCTATCGGTAATACTGACTTGTGCATGTCCATGTGCTCGGTAGCTCAGTATCTGTGACCCCACGGACTGTAGCCCACCAGGTTCCTTTGTCCATGAGACTTTCCAGGCAAGAATACTGGGTTGTCATTTCCTTCTCCAGGGGATCCTCGCAACCCAGGGATCATATTCATGTCTTTCGTGCCTCCTGCATTGGCAGGCGGATTCTTTACCACTTGATTCAGTTTAGTATCACAACCTAACATTCCAAATAAAATAAACATTTTCAGATGATTGGATTTGTTTCAGCATGTCCACATCATGGATAAAGTGCTATCAGATTCGTTTTCTCCAACTGTTAGTATCAGACTTCCTCAAAAATATATACTAAAAATTCATATACAAATAATGTTATAATAGGATACATAATTTATTGCAATTATTTTTTTTAAGCAGTGGTGTGTTTGTATCACCAGTTCTGATTATCAATATACAAGTCATCAGTGGATCGAGAAAGCCATGACCATCTATGTGTGTGTATTTATACACGAGTATTTACACACCCATATATACACACCAAACACACATCTATTCATCCAAGAGAAGAATGCATATGGATTCACATCATCTCTTAGGTTTCCAAATTAAATAGCACTTGGTACTTAAAAGAGGTTTAAGCCTGTCTAAAATATCTTCTATCCATCTGTCACCCTTTGCCGCAAATTTGTACCAAGTGGGTCTTAAGTGCCAAGGGTGGGTTTATGCACTGGGTAGTTTCTCTGTTATTTATTATTTCATATTCTACCATCTGAAAAGTTCCAGATCTTTACATTTCAACTTAATCAATTAGACTCATTCTTATAAGATTTCAGCAGGAGGTCATTTGAAAAATTATATTTTATAATTGAGAATTTCCTGAGATGCTTCAATTCATATGGAATATATAGAATCTAACTGTCACTCTGTATCTAAAGTTGAGATTCTTTATATTAGAGGGTTTGGCCACATGAGTAGAATTTAACTTCTAAAAAGAAAACGATGTCAATTTTATCTTTATTAAAAAACAATTTCACATCATAGGGAATGATGTCACAATACTACTTTGATGGATTTTTTTTCAAAAGGTACTTTATTGTTTATGGTTAAGTAACTGGTACTAGGCTTACTTTTCTACATTTAAAAACTATAACAGTGGCTAATTGTTTCAGACTCTTGTAACAAGCAATTGAGTCCCTAGTTCTCAAGAGAAGAGGAATTTATCAGGTGAGTGACACCTCTGCCCAGCTCCCTGCCTGGGTACATTTTGCTGACCATGGTACAGAAATGTGGATCCTATGCAGACAATAGCAGTCTTGCCGAATTGAGAGTGCAGAGATCCAAGTTGGGGCTGCAGAAGTAGCTAGAATTTGTGGGACAACGACCAGAAAGGAAAAAGCTACACTGAATAGGGAGCCCTGAGGATTCCTGCAGGTCCTTATCTGAGGGGTGAATGGCTGATAACACAGGGTGAGGCTCCAAGTGGCCTGGCAGAGGGCAGCGTCTTTGAGCTGAAAGCTGATAAGTGTTGGAAGATTGGACATACACAGCTCTGGGAAGGAGCAGTGCTCTGGCCCACACAGTGTGAAGAGCCACAGCGAGCATCTGGGCGTCCAGTGGAAAGCCCAAAGTCCATGTCTCACGAGTGAGAACCACAAGCTGTCTAATAGGTAGAGTACATATTGTGCCTTAGAGCTAAGGAAAACCCAGAATAGATGAGCCCTAAGGAAGAATAATGGTGGCTAAGACGGTAAGGAATCTGCCTGCAATGCGGGAGACTCAGGTTCAATTCCTGGGTCTGGAAGATCCCCTGGAGAAGGAAATTGCTACCTACTCCAGTATTCTTGCCTGGAGAATCCCATGAACAGAGGAACCTGGTGGGCTACAGTCCATGGGGTCACAAAGAGTCAGGTACAACTGAGTGACTAAAAAAAAAAAAGGAATAATAAAACAAAGGTTCAGGGGATCAAAAGAATTCACCTACTATAACAATGTAATATAAATATACATAATATAAAATAACAATATATCATAATATATAATTGTAACACATGTAATATGTTATAATATATTCAAAAAATGGACGTAAGTGAACAAATGGGATATTCTCTAGAGAAATACAGACTATAAAAAAGAACCAAATGGTGGTTCTAGTATGAAACTTAACCCAAATGCATAGCTTGATGAATTGTCTAAATAAATGATTAGAAATGTTAGAAGAAAGATACAAATGATGACAAACTTATATTAGAAACAGCTGAGTTCAGATGAAAATGGAACTATTATCTTTAAAGGGTCTAAAGGGAAAAAAAGGAACAAAGAATGAACTGTTTAGAATTTTATATTCAGAAAAAACTGTTCTTCAAAACTGAGGGTAAATTAATGACATTTTTCAGATAAAGAAAACCTGAGATACTTTATGGCCACAGATTTGTGCTACAGAAATGCTAAAGGAAGTTCTTCAGGCCCTAAGGAAATGACACAATTTGAAACTGATCTATAAGAAAGCATGAATAATAAATGGCAAATGTGTGGGTTAACATAAAAAATGACTCTATTTGATTTAAAAATAATCCATTATTTTAAAACAAAGATTGCAACAGTGCCATGTGGCTCATAGCTTGCAAAAGAAATAAAATACATCATGACAATAGTACAAAGTGTGAAAGAAGGAGACATGGACTCATTTGTTGTAAAGCTCCTGCATTTTGCATAAAGTGACTTAATGACTAAACAATAACAACAATAGAAAGACATGCTGCATTGAACTTATCCCCTGTATTTTCCAAACAGCACCAGTTTACCACGATGATAGCCCATGGCCTCAGCAAATCGGTGTGGAAACCAGGAGTATGCCGTAGAACACTCCACCTTTGAAAGAAAATGTTAGATGTGGGCTGCTTTTCCTTAGCAAACAGAAGAGTAACACACAAATTCTCATGGATCTTACATATTCCTCCAACAGAAAAAGCAGCACTGGGAGTACCGTGTTGATGCTTTCTGATTTACTATTCTGGTTCCAAGCTGAGATTACCCAGCTGAGGAGATAAACATCCAGTTCTGGCACACAGCTGTAACTGACTCTGTGGGGAGACCTACTTGAGTTTAGAAGAAAGAAGATGATCATGTTGGATTTAAATTGGGCACATTCCCAGCGTGTTCTGAAATGTTGGAGATTTCTGGAGGACTATATATTTTTGTCCACTTTCCTTTTGATTTTATTATAAACTAGGATAACATAAAACTCTTGTGACACCATGGACTGTAGCCTGTCTGGCTCCTCTGTCCATGGGACTTCCCAGGTAAGAATACTGGAGTGGGTTGCTATTTCCTTCTCCTGGGGATCTACCCGACCCAGGGATCAACCCCAGGTCTCCTGCATCGGCAGGTGGATTCTTTATGGACTGACCCACCAGGGAAGCCCCCAAAATAGCTACTTTCATTCAATTTATGGCTGGCTTTGCTAGCAGCTTAGTAGAGCGAGTTATGAAATCTCCATTTTCCCTTGTCTAGCAAGAGCGCATGTCTCTGAGTGATATGGGGAATTTATGTGAGAAAACCACTCTGCTGTGTCCCCTGGGTCAGTGGACTACTATGAAAGGCTTCTCTAGAAATACTTCATTTGAGGAATTTAATAATCAGAAGTCCCAGATAGGCTACTGCCTTATGGTAAATTCTGTCTCTGTCTGAGGAAGGTTGGGGGGGTGCGGGGGCAGTGAGCACAGTTCCTTAAACACCATTTGAAAAGAATGCAGTGCGTTCATTTGCCAACTTGCACCAACCAAGAGTGCTCCCTGAACTCCCACGTGATAAATCAGAAGGAATTGACCCAAGAGGACAAGTCAGTACTCGAGAGGAAACTGATACCTACCACAGCATCCACGGTCATCTTCGCCTGTAAAACATGTGTTTCCTGTTATACAGGGTCAGCCCTAACACACAGGATTTGACATTTGGTAGGTACCCAATAAATACTGCATACATCAACGTCAGCTTCACCGAATAAAACGGTTTTATGAAGCATTCCGCACAGAACACTTTCCAACAATCACTTGCCTTTTTGAAATCCAGCATGCAGAGCTTGGCTTTCTCTCCAAACTGCCACTTGCACTGCGTGTTCGCGTCATATAACTCTCCGGGCAGCTTCTCCGGGTACTTGTACTCCTTCACGGGCTTTGGCCGGTCAGCAAGGCAGGTAGCCTGGGCGGTGCTAGAACACAGAGGAGCTGCTGGTGAGGCCGGGGGTTAGCAAAGGTGTCCATGCAATCAGGCCTTTTATTCCCCCTCATGAAAACCTACAACATGCCTCGTGCAAAGAAGAGGAGACATGTTTTTTTTTTTTTTTCTTGAGGTCAAAATAAAACATTTATCATCGTATTTCAATACAGGGGCCACACTTTCTACAACTGTTCATAATCTAGGTCACCTTTTCCGGGGAGGCCATTTGCTCTTCATGGGACCTCTCACTTAGCATGGGGAAAGTGAGAAGAAAGGGTACAACCAGATGTTCAAGGCGAGGAGCTCCTATAACGGACACCGTCTAAAGTACACTCTCTGCCAGGAACAATAAAAAGATGAAGTGAGCATTGTTAACAGTGGAAACGCGATCAACCAGTTTCAAAGGCTGTGATTTTTTTCTTCCTTTCTTTCCTGCACAATAGCTTCCAGCTTCCACATGGAACTTCTGCCGTGATTTCCATCAGAAATGCTCTATAGGAAGGTGGATTTCTGACTATATTCCCAGGCCTAGAAGAAGTTCATTCTCTCCTTCAGTTCACTAGCAGATGGTTAACTACCAGCTAATGATTTCTTCCTCCACAAACAGGGCAATCTCTTCCCTACAGAGACATGCTTCAGTAGAATTTTGCATTCGGAGCGAGGAGAAACAAGTGTTTGCAAAGAGCAACGAAATTCTGCTTATAGATTTCAATAAGCAAAAGTTAATGGCAAACAAACAAAAACAAAACACCTCTGCAATCACAACAAATTCCACAGCAGTATGTCACCTTAGGCACCTCCCAACTTTTCTTTGTGGGGTTGTTCACCTTGAGGGGAATCTTTACCTCACCCTACTCCCCCCAAAGTAACAATCTGTTCTCTGCTTCTATTTGATTTTCTTTTCAACATCCCACAGTTCGTGAAATCATACAGTGTCTGTCTGTCTCTGACTCATTTCACTCATTTCATAATGCCCTCAAAATTCATCTACACTGTCACACATGATAGAACTTCCTTCTTTTTAATGGCTGAATGATATTCCACCATGTGCATATGTAGATACAGACACAGTGCATACATGAGCTTCCCGGGTGGCATCAGTGGTAAAGAATCCACCTGTCAGAGCAGGAGACACAGGAGACTTGTGTCGATCCCTGGGTTAGGAAGATCTCCTGGAGGAGGAAATGATGACCCAGCCCAGTATTTTTGCCTGGAGAATCCCATGGACAGGGGAGCCTGGCAGGCTAAAGTAGAGTCAGACACTACTTAGCGACTAAACACACACACACACACGTGCACATATACATACAAATATCACATATACATTATATGTATCAAATCCTCTTTACTCTTTCATCCACTGAAGGACACTCAGGCTGTTTCCATGACGTGGCCATTGTGATGTGCTCCAGATCATGACCTAGGGAGAAGTTACACTGAAGTGTGTGTGCTAAGTCGCTTCAGTCACGTCCAACTCTGTGACCCTATGGACTGTTGCCCCCACCAGGCTGTAAAATGTTACTGAGCTTATAATTTTATACACATATATTATATATGTGTTCAAGCACAGCAAAAAATAACATTAATGAAGAATATTAGGCCCAGCCAGAGGTTCTATAAAGAAATTTCAAAGTCCTTTTCCCCATTGTGACTCATGAACCATAACGGGTTAAAGACCTCCAGAGATTTTTTTTACCTTCACCACCTCTTCTTCCAAGAGAGCCCTCAGAAAGGGCTACCTACTTGCCACAGTCAAGGCCTCCCAGGCTTACATGGAAAAGTCCAGGTTGGCACATGAGCTGATTCCCTGGCTGATCTACGGTAAAGTGCTCATCGTTCCATCTCACAAAAACTACACTTAGCCGTGACTCGAGGGTTTGTTTCTGTTAAGATCAATAATAAACAGCAGGGCAAGATGTAAACTATGTCTTATTTCTCTTATGCCCCCAAACTCTTTCTGGCCAAATCAAACTTTCTCATCCACAGGGTGGTCTGGGGCATGCCAGGGCATCTGCACCTCTTTAAACTCCTGCTTCCCGCAATGGCCTTTCTCATGTGTGGGTGCAGATTATGTGATGAGAGGGCTTCTCTCATGGCTCAGACAGTGAAGAGTCTGCCTGCAATGCGGGAGACCTGGGTTTGATCCCTGGGTCGGGAAGGTTCACTGGAGAAGGGAATGGCACCCCACTCCAGTATTCTTGCCTGGAGCATCCCATGGACAGAGGAGCCTGGAGAGCTATAGTCCCTGGGGTCGCAAAGAGTTGGATAGAACTGAACAAATGTTTCAGTTCAGTTCAGTTCTGTGATGAGAGGGGAGGCATGTTCTCTGATCAGCAGTTCATGATTCAAACTTTCAGAGTAAACTGAAGATTAGCCCATGTTGCCATTAAGTTTAAAATAATGAGCTAAAATTTCCCTAAGTCCTAGGCCTCCCAGATACAGACATGAGTAAATGTGATGAGGTCTGTCTGTCTGCAGGAAGTGACATACGTCTTTACTGATGAGGCTGAGGAATTTACTATAAACACATATCTACTAAGTGGCTGACAACTTCAGGCCAATTGAGTCCCCTTATTATATATAATTTTTCTGTATACCCAATGCTAAACTGCTAATAAAGGAAAGCAGATTCATCTTTGAACAGTTGGTCACTTATCCTTACTCACTGTTGGGATCACATCCAAATTGCTGACTAACTGGTGGAGAAATAACAGTGTTTTGATTACTTGAAAGTTAGGGAGTCAGCAAATGTGTAAAAGAAGATGGATTCAGGTTCATTAAGCCAGTGAAAAGTCAGGGTTGAAACACTGGACACAGTTCACAACCAGACATCTCAAGTACTAAGAATCTCAAGAGTGAATTTGACAGAAAGACTTTCTTGGAAAACTTGATCTTTCAAGAAAACACATTTCTGAGCATGAAAAAAATCTCGCATTTTTCTTATTACATGGTCCAAAGAAATTAGTAAACTCTCTGAAAACAACTATTTATTACTGCATGGCTAGAGAAGAGTTTTACTAAGTGGCACAAAAATCAATAAGCATACTCCAGCATGCATTTAACCATTCCAGTATCACTGAACAAAATGGCTTCGGACTCCAGACTCTTACCAGGCATTCTCAGAGTCACATTTTGACTTGACGATTACACCCATGATTAATGTCATGGAGAGAATTATTCTCCCAGCCTAGGACTGCTCTCTTTCCATGAGTTCTTCTATATTTCTTGGCAGTTTAAAACCCGGACTCTTTCATGAAGCTGATTTTCACTGCAAGCCCACACTCTGCATCCCTGATGCCTGGGCTTTTCAGGTTTTCAGAGCATATTTCAAAAAATTTATAAAGTTTATATATCTTCATCAAGACCAGTATGATGAAAAAGAAGTAAATTTTTAAGAATATAAAATTTATACAAAGGATTTTAGATACAAAAACATTTAAAATTTTCCTTGTCAATACACTTCTTTGTTAGAGAAAGCAGAATCCTTCACACACACACACACACACACACACACACACACCCCTAAAAATTTGAGCAGCTGCATGAAGCAGCTAAAAAGAATGCTTACAATCCCCAACTTGACTCCAAGAGATCACTGTAGAGGGGAAAGCGAAGGCTGAAAGGACCCATGGTGTCATGTCAGCTGAAGAAGAGGGTGAATGCTGCCTTTTTGGTAACAGAAATTTTAAAGAGAGATCACGTGTATATTCCTAGAATATAGGTTTGTATTACAGGATACAGATGTTATTGTTGTTTTTAGTCACTTAGTCCTGTCTGACTCTTTTAGAACCCCACGGCCTGCAGCCCACCAGGCTCCTCTGTCCATGGGGATTCTCCAGGCAAGAACACTGGAGTGGGTTGCCATGCTTGCTTCCAGGCGATCTTCCCCACCCAGGGATCGAACCCAGGTCTTCTGTGTTGTCAGGCAGGTTCTTTACCACTGAGCCACCAGGGAAGCCCAGGATACAGATATCATCCACAAAATTCTCACCCTGCCAGGGTGCCACAGGATATGGAAAGCAGCCACCATTCCCTCAGGTGGTAAAATGTACTGTTTTACTGCGGCCGAGTAAGGCTGTGAGGAAGGACCACGGCTGCAGGCTGAAGGTCAGGATGCAACTCAGAAGGTGTGCTATGAGGTCTGGAGAAGCGATGGAAAAGGCAGAAGGAAAAGGAAGCTAGCCACTGGCTTGCTGTCCCAGGTGGCCGTGGGAAGTTGTCCATCGGATGATAAACAACACACGCGGAGCACAACCAAAACAAAAACACCTGTGACCTCTGCCCAAATGGTGGTCAGGAAACGAGACGAATTAATTTGTGCAACAGAAAAAAAATCGAACCAGGATCTGCCTGCATTGCAGGCAGATTCTTCACCAGCTGAGTTACCCGGGAGGCCCTTATAAATGTATGTACCTATATAAATCTACAATTATGTTTATATACACACATACACAGTTTTATATTTTTAAAGAATTCTGTGCTAGTAAAACTTTGCTTACCTTGAAATACTGGTAGTTTGCCCTATTTCCTTGTGTTAGTTTCTAGAAACATCTTAGCCCGATTTTAAGCTTCAACGTCACAGCCGAGGGCTGTCCTTTACAATCTATGTGAGCTAAATACTGCTCTCTTTCCATGAGTTCTTCTATATTTCTTGGCAGTTTAAAACCCGGACTCTTTCATGAAGCTGATTTTCACTGCAAGCCCACACTCTGCATCCCTGATGCCTGGGCTTTTCAGGTTTTCAGAGCATATTTAAAAAAATTTATCAAGTTTATATATCTTCATCAAGACCAGTATGATGAAAAAGAAGTAAATTTTTAAGAATATAAAATTTATACAAAGGATTTTAGATACAAAAACATTTAAAATTTTCCTTGTCAATACACTTCTTTGTTAGAGAAAGCAGAATCCTTCACACACACACACACACACACACACACACACACCCCTAAAAATTTGAGCAGCTGCATGAAGCAGCTAAAAAGAATGCTTACAATCCCCAACTTGACTCCAAGAGATCACTGTAGAGGGGAAAGCGAAGGCTGAAAGGACCCATGGTGTCATGTCAGCTGAAGAAGAGGGTGAATGCTGCCTTTTTGGTAACAGAAATTTTAAAGAGAGATCACGTGTATATTCCTAGAATATAGGTTTGTATTACAGGATACAGATGTTATTGTTGTTTTTAGTCACTTAGTCCTGTCTGACTCTTTTAGAACCCCACGGCCTGCAGCCCACCAGGCTCCTCTGTCCATGGGGATTCTCCAGGCAAGAACACTGGAGTGGGTTGCCATGCTTGCTTCCAGGCGATCTTCCCCACCCAGGGATCGAACCCAGGTCTTCTGTGTTGTCAGGCAGGTTCTTTACCACTGAGCCACCAGGGAAGCCCAGGATACAGATATCATCCACAAAATTCTCACCCTGCCAGGGTGCCACAGGATATGGAAAGCAGCCACCATTCCCTCAGGTGGTAAAATGTACTGTTTTACTGCGGCCGAGTAAGGCTGTGAGGAAGGACCACGGCTGCAGGCTGAAGGTCAGGATGCAACTCAGAAGGTGTGCTATGAGGTCTGGAGAAGCGATGGAAAAGGCAGAAGGAAAAGGAAGCTAGCCACTGGCTTGCTGTCCCAGGTGGCCGTGGGAAGTTGTCCATCGGATGATAAACAACACACGCGGAGCACAACCAAAACAAAAACACCTGTGACCTCTGCCCAAATGGTGGTCAGGAAACGAGACGAATTAATTTGTGCAACAGAAAAAAAATCGAACCAGGATCTGCCTGCATTGCAGGCAGATTCTTCACCAGCTGAGTTACCCGGGAGGCCCTTATAAATGTATGTACCTATATAAATCTACAATTATGTTTATATACACACATACACAGTTTTATATTTTTAAAGAATTCTGTGCTAGTAAAACTTTGCTTACCTTGAAATACTGGTAGTTTGCCCTATTTCCTTGTGTTAGTTTCTAGAAACATCTTAGCCCGATTTTAAGCTTCAACGTCACAGCTGAGGGCTGTCCTTTACAATCTCTATGAGCTAAATGGCTTCAGTTGTGTCCCACTCTTTGTGACCCTATGAACTGTAGCCCGCCAGGCTCCTCTGGCGGAGGAGAGTCCATGCAGAGTCCATGGGATTCTGCAGGCAAGGAAACTGGAGTGGTCTGCCACGTCCTCCTCCAGGGGATCTTCCCCACCCAGGGATTGAACCACATCTCTTATGTCTCCTGCACTGGCAGGCGGGTTCTTTACCACTAGTGCTACCTGGGAAGCCCTAGGATCTATATATTTGTGTTTCCCCCTGGTCTTCTTTCATTTGTTTTCTCTCTCTGTCTTTCAAGTCTACTAATTTTTTCTTGTGATAATCTGCTACAAATTCTTAAGTTAAGGTGGTTTCATGTGTTAAGTTTTCCCCAAGAATATATAATTGAAATAAGACTGATGATTCTCACACTCTCTTTGATGAAGCTCAGACATGTGAATGTGTTTAAAGAGACCAAAGCAGCCCACTTCACTACTGTTTCCTGCCAGCAAGCGGGTATCTTGAAAATAAGGAAGCATGCTCTTTGCATCTCCTTTATAACGGGGGTCCCCAACCCCCAGGCCGCAGAGCGCTCACGTTCCGCGGCCGCTTAGGAACCTGGCTGCACAGCAGGTGGGGAGCGGCGGGTACACCTGAGTCTGGGGACCGCTCCGACGGGACTCGGAGGGCCCAGCCGTGAACATCAAAGGCACCGGGAGACACACAGCCAGCGGCAGGCTCGTACCTTAGAAACCTGTGCAGGTACTGGCGGCTGCAGGGGGACCAGGAGAAGACCCCGTTGCGTCCTGCCAACGTGGGGGACATTATGTTGCCTTCCGACTTCTTGCACACGTTCCCCTCTCCGTCGTGGACCATGCCGAAGCTGTGGGAGAGAAACGGGCCTTTCAGTGCAAAGAACAGGGTCAGCAATCACACTCGCTCACACCAACACAGGCCAGCTCTGTGGAAGCCCCTTCTGTGTGCTAGGCAGGCAGGCAAGGGTCCTCACAAACAAACCGGGGAGAACACCCACGTGGTCATGGACCCTTCCGAGAGAAACTACCATCTGTGCAGCTGTTGAAAGTGCCCACCCTCAAAACATAGCCCACAGCCAGGTAACTGTGAAGGGCAGACATTTCAGTTATAAAACAGCATTTCCAGTGGGGGGTATGCATGTGGGCTCGGTCACTCAGTTGTGTCTGACTCTTTCAGACCCCATGGACGGTAATCCACCAGGCTCCTCTGTCCACGGGACTTCCCGGGCAAGAGTACTGGAGTGGGTTGCCATCCCCTTCTCTGGGGGATTTTTCCAACCCAGGGATTGAACCCAGGTCTCCTGCATTGCAGGCAGGTCTTCTGCAGATGTTCAAAACCCAAAATGCCAGCAGTGCATCCTTATTGTCACTTGAGAAAACTGCAGCCTTGAGCTTGTAAGAATCCCATTGACAGCTGCTACCTACGCCCATTAAATCAGCTGCTGCTTCTTAACTTCCTAAAGCTAGTCCTGTAGGATTGCCATCTTCATCCACCTCAAAAGAGCACAACTTGCTGCGTTGGGAAGGAAGCCTGGGGGACTTGGGAGCTCCATGACCTTGAAGACTTCCCATCGGGGCAGATACATTCTTTGAAAGTCAAGCCATTTTTGGCCTGTAGTGTCTGTTACCCACCCGATCAGGCTTCCCTGGTAGCTCAGCTGGTAAGGAATCTGCCTGCAGCGCAGAAGACCCCAGTTCTATTCCTGGGTTGGAAAGATGCCCTGGCGGAGGGTATAGCAACCCACCCCAGCATTCTTGCCTGGAGAATCCCACAGACAGAGGAGTGTGGCGGGCTACAGTCCATGGTATTGCAAAGAGTTGGATGCAACTGAGCAACTTAGCACAGCACCCATCCAATCACTGTATGGAGTCCCAGAGAGCAGTTGTGAATGAGCGGGATACGGGAGGAATGAGAAGGGAAGAGAGGGAGGAAGCACAGAGGGATGGGTGGTTCCTGGATCCACGCGGGCTTTCCTCTGCCGAGAACCCCATGGTGAATGGAGGGAGGAGCTAGGAGACAGCAACACATGGGAGGTGGGCTCAAGGGGGCCGGGGAATCTGCACTTGTAGTAGAGGCTGACGACTCAACTGCTTTCCTTCGAGCTGTTTAATAATATGAGGAAAAAGAACGGCTCCCATTTGTAAGCACTATTTTTCAGGTAGGATATTAAGCACATTAAGTATTATTTTCTCACTACAGGTCTACAAGGTAGACATATATTTGCAATGGCAGCAAGACAGAAGACTGGAGACAGACTAGTCCAGGGTCTCAGAGCTGGCCTGGAAACCAATATTCTTGATGTCAGAGCCTGGGCAGGACCTGTGCAATAGTGTAACCTGAGCGTGGTTGAAGGGTGGGCCCAACGAGACCTGCTGCACAAACACTGCAAAACGCCCGCTCAGTACCAAGGGGGGTACATGTAATCATTCCGGCCTCCACCCATTCCCTGAAATTCTATTAAAAGCACTCAGTCAAGGCGACGGTAACCGCATGGCAGAGCGGATGTGCCCCAGAAATGGAGGATTCAGGTGTCATCCACGTGGAGGATGCCTCGGGGAGAAAGTCATGAAGATGAAATGGTAAAGTACCCTCCCCTGGATGGCCCTTGAAGAATACACAATATGAAGAAGACACATTAGGGTCCAGCAAGTGCCCTAGATGAATCTGCTACCAATTCTGCCTTTATTTCTAAGGAACTCAAGCCACAGTATCCCACATCTAGGGACACCTTGGTATTAAACATCTTCATCAAAGGCATTTTCAATGATTCTCAGACTTGTCTGAACATCAGAATATCTGAGAAATGTACCTCACACTGGCTCCCCAAAGCCTGCCTGGTAGAGTTTTGATTTAGTAACATTGGGGGTTGTTGTTGAGTCACTCAGTCATGTCTGACTCTCTGTGACCCCATGGACTGCAGCACGCCAGGCTTCTCTGGAGTTTGCTCAAACTCTTGTCCATTGAGCTGATGATGCCATCCAACCATCTCATCCTCTGTCACCCTTCTGCCCTCAATCTTTCCCAGCATCAGGGTCTTTTCCAATGAGTTGACCCTTTGCATCAGGTGGCCAAAGGATTGGAGCTTCAGCTTCAGCATCAGACCTTCCAATGAATATTCAGGGTTGATCTCCTTGAGGACTGACTGGTTTGACCTCTTTGCTCTCCAAGGCACTCTCAGGAGCCTTCTCCAGCACGACAACCCGAAAGCATCAATTCTTTAGCACTCAGCCTTCTTTACGGTCCAACTCTCACATCCATCCATAACTACTGGAAAACCAAAGCTTTGACTACATGGACCTTTGTCAGCAAAGTGATGTCTCTGCTTGTATAATATGCTGTCCAGGATTGTCATAGGTTTATTCTTTACCATCTGAGCCACCAGGGAAGCCCAAGTCGGTCGGGGGTTAGGTTCTGGGGTTTGGGTGAATCCTGACAAAATGATTCTGATACGCACCCCAACTCCAGCACGACTGTGTTTCAGGTTGTTCTTCGAACAGCACAAAGCCAAAACTGCACTGAGGGGGCGTGGGGGTCAGCCTGGCAGCCCGAAAGTAGCGCACAACAGTCACAGCTGATGCTAACATTAGTAAAGTCATGGAAGAGTGAATAGGGCACATTTTGAAGATAAGGCTGGTATTTGGCAGCTAAGAAATAAATTATTCAAGTTGTACATGCCAGATATTTTTTTTTTTAGCTTCCATGACTCACAGTACTTTATTCCAACTGGTTACTATTCTATATTTTAAAATAATACATATTTCTTCTTTCTTATGTACTAGCTTATAAGTTTCTAGAGAACAGAAGGTCTTCTTAACTGTGCACAGAGACCCAGTGCTAGCGGACTTTCTAGCTCATAACAGACGCTCCAATGATGTTTGTTGAATGAATAAGAAACAACCTTCCAGCTATAACGCCAACTCAAATACCCAAATGTAAACATCATTTCAGATTAAACTGGACTTGAGAATTATATTCAGCGTCACATGCTTTTAATGTCTTTTACAGAATTTTCTTGAGTTATTCAATTACATCAGCTAGTATTTCTTTATTATTAAGGATACACCCAGGCTTCCCAGGTGGCACTAGTGGTAAAGAACCTGCCAATGCAGACTTAAGAGACACGGGTTTGATCCCTGGGACAGGAAGATCCCCTGGAGGAGGGCATGGCAACACACTCCAGTATTCTTGCCAGGAGAATCCCATGGACCGAAGCCTGGTAAGCTATGGTCCATTGGGTCACAAAGGGTCGGACACAACTGAAGTGACTTTGGTATGCATGCACACAGTGATACACCCAGGATGAAGAGCCAAGCATTTTTAGAGGCTGCATCAATATTTCAGGCCGATCAGACAGGAGTGCTTAAGACAAAGGGAAAACCCTTCAAAAGTAACGATGGGGCAAAGTCATCTGGAAAGTAAACCACAGGCTGGCTGTGATGATGGCACCACAGGTAGGACTTGTCCAGACTCTGAAGCAGGCTTTTCAAGGAGCGAACCCATCCTCCCCGAGACAGGAAGCCGGCATGGGGACAGCAGTCAGGTGGGACTCTGGAAGCCAGGGCAGGTCAGGTAACCTGGAAGAACATGAGTTGCGGCAGTGGGGGAACCTCCGGTCAGGGTCTTGGCCCTGTCATTCACAAGTGGTTTGGTGTGGAGCTAATTTTTCAAGTCCCTGAGTCTCAGTTTTCTCACCTATTAAACGGCATAATAAAACCTTCCTCTTAAACTGTTCGGCATATCTAGCATCATGCATGTCAAAAAAGGAAAAATTCAAAACATCTCTTTCCCTGATTCACATGTGGTCTTGATCAAATCTCTTGACACCCAGATGCTAGATATCACTTGCATACATAACTTTGGGGTGTGTGTGTATGTGAGAGGGCGCTAATGAGGAGGCAGTTCAGCCAAAGGTCAATGGGTTTCAAATACTTATGGTCACAGAAACAAAAAATCTTAAGAGGAATGACAATATATGAAATTGATAAGAAATGCTCCAACCTGCTGAGGCTCCTGGGGGACAGTCTGACAATCACCACACCAGGTGATCTTTAAGCAGCCATTGCTTTGATATTCTTTAGACCCTTGAGATCACCCAGTGCCTCCCTGACCCAACTAGGGGCTCAGGCTGATGGCAGAGAACAGCCACAGATCAGTGAGGTGCACACATCACCATACAATGCCTGGAAGGGCATCTAATATCACCAGCTAGGGATGGCTGAGCCAAATGGTATCCGTGCACCAGTTTTGTTTCTTTCCAAAAGACCTCCCTGATCTTCCCTGCATGTCTTGCCATGCCTGCAGCCCTCACCGCCTGACCTCTCACAGGCCATGTCTGTCTTATCTTGCTTTAGGCTTTTGGAGGGGATGGATCACTAGTCAGTTTGTAGAATCCTACACAATGGTCTGCTGGCAGAATGCAAATTGTGTCCAGTGAATGGATCAGAGAAGCATGTGTGTGCACAGTCATGTCTGACTCTCTGTGACCCCACGGACTGTAACCCACCAGGCTCCTCTGTCCGTGGGATTCTCCAGGCAAGAATACTGGAGCGGGTTGCCATGCTCTCCTCCAGGGGATCTTCCCAACCAAGGATCAAACTTACGTCTCCTGTGTTGGCAGGCAGGTTCTTTACCAACAGGGAAGCCCCCAAATGGGTCAGTAAATAGTGTAAAAAACAGGGGGGCAGGATAATGGCTTACGCATACTCTTGAGCGCATTTTGTTTAATATTGCCTTGATGGTCTGAAATGATCATGAAAATTACGGATTTAAGTGGACTTCATATACAAGCAATGCTCAGCTCAAATAACAGCTCAAATTGCACCTGCTGAGGTCTCCCAGGCTCTAGGGGTTTTGTGTACAGAAACCTACGGAAGAAGAGACCAGGCTGCTCACCCTGGTCACTGTCAGGCTGCCAGAGAACCAAAGGGATCTGAGGATCTGAGTTCCAGGGCCCTGCCCATCGAATGGCATGACTTCTTTTGGCAAATGAAAATTTTTCAAATGGATTCATGCCCAGATGACACATTCTCCAAAATGTGTAGTTGAGCCCTCGTGCGTCTGCACCAATTCTTCAACAGCTGCATCAAGCAAACCTCACACGCTGTGTGTGACAAGTGATTCAGCACGACCAGGAAGCCCACCTTGCACCAGACCTGGCTCAACTGCACGCTCGAAAGGGGCAGACACGTCCTCATTTCCAGCTCCAGTCGCCCTTCTCCCCTTCCCAACACAGATCCAAACAGAAGTTCTTGGCAATTCCCATTTCTAGGTCAGATTCCCCAGTAGAAATCACAAGATGCCTTGAGATTAAAAAAAGAACTGAACTTGGCAGAAGAAACGGGCTGGACATGAACTGAGTCTTTTTTGAAGTTAAAGGTTAAGAATCTATGGCTGTAATAATAAACCTGAATGATGAGGTCCTCTGAATATAAACCAAACTTCACCTGTGAAACAGGACTTAAAAGCATCCTGTTTCACAGGTGAAGTTTGGCATCACTGACTCAAGGGACATGAGTCTGGGTAAACTCTGGGAGTCTGTGACGGACAGGGAGGCCTGGCGTGCTGCAGTCCATAGGATCACAGAGTCGGACACGACTGAGCGACGGCACTGAACTGAAATGTAACTGCTGCATAAATGTAAAATTACTTCTTAATTCTTTAGGTACAGAACTCAGAAACTGACTCTGCTTGGAGCTCCCTGCCAAGGATAAGGTGGAAGCATGCTGTTGGATCCCTGAATTAAACCTGTGACTACTTCTCCAAGTAGTAATAGTCATTAAATGAATAAACTGAATAACTGAGTTTGTTTTCGATTCTCCTGAAAGGCATGAAGCTGGCTTTCTGAGTCGTCCCTGCCACAAGCCCCTCATTGGATGCAGCTGCCACAGTGAATGATGCATTAGTAATATGCCTCCTTACGTATGGACATGGAGGGGGAATGAGGGGTGAGATAACTGGGAAATTGGGATGGACAGATACAGACTACTGACTACTGCTGTTGTTCAGTTTCTAAATTGTGTCCAACTCTTTGTGACCCAGTGGACTGTAGCCCACCAGGCTCCTCTATCCATGGGATTCTCCAGGAAGAATCCTGGACTGGGTTGCCACTTGCTATTCCAAGGGATCATCTCAACCCAGAGACTAAACCCAGGTCTCGTTCATTGCAGGCAGATTCTTTTGAGCCATCAGGTCACTGACACAGATGCAAATTTCCATTCATTACATGCATGACCCTATTCCGAATAACCACAGACAGGGCTACCATTCCAGGCTGTTTGCTATGGCAGCTGACACATGCCTTTTCTGTGCACATCTCCCACTGTACTTCCAATTTCCTCAGCATGATCAGAAGCTGTTTCACTGGTTACATGAAACACTCAGAGCTCCCAGCCTCTCTGCCTCTTGCACAGTGGTCTCAAGCAGCAGGTGCTGGAGAAGGAGCTGCTCATTTTCCAGGGTCAGTTCTATTAGGAGTGGGATCCCTGCACCACACCTCTAGAGCCCCTTTCCTTCCTCCCATCTATACCTCCATTTGCAAACAAAAACACTTTTCTCTTGTTTGGAAGAAATTCTTTTTTCACCTACACTGAGGCCTAGAGACGAAAGGAATGATAGCTGACTTCTAAGAAAAAGGGGCTTCCCAGGTGGAAGGTGTAAAAACCCCACCAACCCACGCAGGAGACTTGGGTTTGATCCCTGGGTCAGAAAGATCCCCTGGAGAAGGGCATGGCAACCCACTCCAGTATTCTTGCCTAGAGAATCTTATGGACAGAGGAGCCTGGTGGGTTACAGCCCATGAGGTCACAGAGAGTCAGACATGACTGAAGTGACTTAGCACAGATGTACCCACTCTAGGAAAAAAAATAAAAGCAAACACTGATGCTTGTTGATGTGGAAGACGGGAAGTCTTGACTTGGATGCACAGAGTTGAATTTAGTTAAATTCACCAGCTGCGGCTGCCAGGACTGCCGGGGCCTGGATCTCAACAGCTTATCTAATGCTGGTTTGAACAGCCCTCGACGACTCAAATATTTCTTACCTTGATTGTTTAATTAAATTCAGGTATGGTTCAGAGGACAGCAAGAGCCCCGTGTCGTAAAAATAATGAGAGTTTTTGAAGTTTTAACTCCAGAAGCCCATTTACAATTATGATTTAATTGAAAGCTTTGTAAAGTGTAGCTGCAATTTTCTAGGCACTGAAAAAGTCAATCATTACCTGTAATGATGAAGGGATCAGTAATAAGATATAAAGCTTCACTTTGAGGTCATCAGTTCACACATAACCTAAGTCTGCAGGGCCTCTGTGAGATCCTATTAAAGGCAGGCACACATGTGTACACACACACACACTCATACACACACACACACACACACACACACACACAGGTGCTTTGAACAGGTTAGGATGACACGAGTGGCCTCAGTCCAACTTCTAACCGGATGGAGAAGTCAGCCTTACAAAAACAAAATGACAAACAAAGCCTTTTGCAAATTTTGTGATTAGCAAAATCAATGAGGATGAAAGTAAAACTAGAAAAAATTGTAACTCCTGGTTGTGCATTTTCTAGAAGCTTCAAGTACAATTTCAATCCAGAAGAAAACCATTTGTGCTATTATTGTTGATGCTCATATAAACAAGGCAATTGCAGAAAGTCAGTAAGTGAGTCCCATTGAGTTAAAAAAAGTTTTAAGTAGCTGGTGCCCCAAAGTGAGGCAACCTGTAGATTATAAGCGTAAGAAAGCTTGTTTAAGAATAACACCTGTTAGAAACAATCAACAGAAGTGTTTCATTTTTACAGCAATAAAGGTAAGCTTCTCACTTTAAAAGATATTGCTAATGACAAGCCACCCATCACTGAGAATTGCTTGTCCATCCATCTGTCAAGGCCCTGGGCTCCCCACTCACCCTGTGGCTGCTTCAATTCACAACCGACAACGGTGGGCACGTGGGGATGTGGGAAGTCAACCAGCTCCCACCAGACTGCGTCTCTTGTCCTGTCTGCGTTCCCCAAACCCTGCACACCAACCACGACCCATCTCTACAGATGATCACTGTGACATCAGAACGCGAACTGTTACATGGGGTCCTCCTGCAGGAGCTAACCAGGGAATGCAATCAGCCCACAGGACCAAGTTCAAAACACAGGACAAAGAAGCAGGGACAGACAGACGAGTCTGCAGTCTGTGGCCGTGTGCACATTGTGTGAGCAGGAACGGATGAAGAGAGGGAGCAAAGAGCAAACGTGTGGATCACCACCGCTTGAGACCATGCACAGTGAGGCACTCAAACGAAATAGACGCACCTACGTGAGCATCTCCTACGGTCCACAGCATTCCTGCTGGAATGTCCCTTAAGACATGACCTACCCATCACCATCTCAAGACAAACATCCCGTCCAGAGGGGACCCCAGGCTCCGCCCGCCCCCCCCCCACCCCGGCTCATGCACTCACTTGTGTCCAGACTCGTGGGCGATGGTGAAGGCCAGTCCGAGACCTGTGTCCTCATTGATCGTGCAGCTGCGGTACTTACTGCACATGCCACTGATGGGCGCGAATCCTATGAGACAAACATGAAAAGAGCATACAGGCGCAGCACTGCAGGAAAACAAAGACGGGGCAGAGCACACGTGTGTGTTTACCTCTGTCCTTCAGAGACACTTGGTGCTCGTCTTTGTCAGGTGAAATGTGAAACAGGAAACCCCTGAAAAGGGCCCTGAATAACGTGGGAGAGGGGCGTTTGTTCTTTCTTCATGGAAAACAGCCCACAGTGCTATGTCATGTTCGAGTTACAGGATGCAAGGGGGCAACATCAAAGAGGGAGTTCCCTGCTGAAGGAGGAGAGTTTCAGCTTTCTTCCTACAAACATCTATGTCCTCAGAGGCCTGAGACAAAGTGCTGTAGAGAGCGGGTGTCGGTGGTCCTCAAGGCCACACCAGGGTGGAGGACCTGCCGGGATGGGGGCGGGGTTCACAGGACTCAGCATCTGTCCTGCTCATGGGTATAATGTAATGTGGATAAAGGACACAGTGTAGAATCAGCAGCGGGAATAAGCACATGGGGAAATGCCCGGGGGAAACCAGGCACGAGATTCCAGGGCCTTCTCCGCAGCGGCCTCGCATAAAATGACTTAGCTCCCCCCGACAAGAGGAATGAGGCTGACCAGGGGTGCTCAGCAGAGACCCAGGTCCAGGCGTTGGTTGGGGGCTGGCCACAGAGCACCTCTGCCGGCTGTGGGCCCCGGTTCCAGGCCCCCAGCAGGAAAGCAGGCATCCAGGTCAGCCTCACTGAGTGTACAGTGTAGGCCCAGTGGGTCAGGCTCTCCAGCTGGGGGCCGGGAACCCTGCTGGGTCCCCAGGCGATGCAGGGATGCAGGCGGCCGCGGGCCCACTTTGTGTGCAGGCCTTTCTGGGAGCGAGGAGTCAGGACTGACCTCTATCAAACCCAGCCTTGTTTGAATGTTTTTGTAATAAAGAGACTTGTTCCCCAAGACCTTGGAAAGAAATGGAGAATTAGGAAAAAGAACAAAAGAGACAAACATCCAGGAGCACCTCTGTCAGTAGCACCATTTGCAAGAAAACCCCCTCTTGGACGTTACCCGCACTATAACCTGTAACTTGAACATCACACAGAACTGTGGAGTGTTTTCCATGAAGAGAGAACAAACACCCTTCTCCCACATTATTTAGGGCCCTTTGTATGATTGTCCAAGGGTTTCCTGTTTCATATTTCACTGTTTGGAAAAGTATAAAAAAAATTTGTATGATAAAGTACCACCAAGATACACTCAGCCCTTTAAACATGCTAAAAATGGCTAAGATTGAGATGTTCATAGAGAAACAGAAAAATGAAGGACACAATATTATTGCAGTATCTCTATAAATATTCATAAACATTTTTCTTTCCTATAATGAGAGACCCACTTGGACCTCTTGATCCCATTCTCACAATTAGAGGAAGAAGTGGAAGAAATTATTTCTTAAATTAGAAGAGACAGGAGTTCTTGAATCGGTGAGCCCTTTCCTTGGGAAAGAAGTGACTGTGGTGACGACAAGCGTGCTTCGGCAGCAGCAACGTTTACGGAGGGAGCGCATCTGTTTCCTACAACGGCACTCAGCAGCAGCTGCCACTTACGGATCCGGGAGGGAGGTGAGAACCCTCCATGTCCCGGCTGCTGATGGTGCGCGGCACGCGCGAACCTGTCAAAGCCCCAGCGGAGGGTCTTACCCAGGGTGTCACAGGGCTCGTTCTTCCAGGAGCATATGTCCAGGCCGGTGAGTAAGATGGCGTGGTCATGGCGAGCCCCATCTTTCCCCGTCAGTCCAGACTGCCACTGGCAGAAGCTGCTCAAGCTGTGGTCCGCGTGATGGCTTATCACCAGCCCTGGCTACGTGGGAGGGCGCCCGAGAGCCCGGGATAACAGGAAGAAAGCATGTCAAGCAATTGCATTGGCACTGTCATCACCGCAAACTAGCATTGATTTGGATTTCAATGACGTGGGTGAATCTGAATGGCAGACAACCTAATTTATCCATTTCATGTATTAAAATCCAAAGGAGGGTGTTGTCTATAAAACCTGTAGAGTCAGTGTAGACGCTCATGTTCCTTTCTCGAGTTCTGTACAAAGCAGTGTGGATGCATTCAATCACTGAACACATTTCGAGGACCCAAGAACATTACTCCTGTGTGTGTAACTCTTCTAAGAGTTATTATTACAGAGTTAAACTAGGTCACTTTTCCACAGAGGCACCATGTTGTAAGAAGAGGCTGCTCCACTGACAAAACTTTTTATTTCTAGGAAGAAATTTCTTTAATCTCTAGAAAGCTTTATTTCTTTACTTCTAGGAAACAGGCTGGAACTAGAAGGAAACTATACAGATGACGTTCAGCCTCCTCCATGTATTGCTGTTGTTGTTCAGTAGCTAAGTCATGTTGGACTCTTTTGTGACCTCAAGGACTATATCCCGCCAGGCTCCTCTGTCCAGGGGATTCCCAGGTAAGAATCCTGGAGTAAGTTGGCCTTGCCTCCTCCAGGGGATCTTCCCAACCTAGGGATCAAACCCGCATATCCTGCATTGGCAGGCAGATTCTTTACCACTGAGCCACGATGGCATAGGTACTAGTTCTAATAGATCTAATAGATCAGCAATGAAAGACCAGAATGAAGGTCACATGAACTCTTGGAAAATGAAGAATTGGGGGGGCTGGTAAGAATATCTCTCAAAGCTGGCAGATGAGTTATTCAAATCTATAGGCATGATATATTTTCCTATGGATGGTCAGAGAAAACCAGCTTAAACAACTCCATTTCAGGACAACAACTTGTTTAAAGCTTTCCTGACCCGAGTGTTGGGCTGGAACTGTGTCTCAGTCACTAACACATTTTCCCCTTCGGTGTTTGTTGTGTTTTCCCAGAGAGCCAAATGCACCCAAGCTTAATGCTGTACATCAACCCTGGGACATGCCTTGCATTCTTCAGCTGGTGGTTTCCAGGAAAACTGCATTAATTAAAGTTAACACAGGTGTATGATCAAACGATAACCTCGCTTATTCTTTGCTGCTTGGATGAATTCCAAGGTGAAATGTTTCAATGCAGAGAATAATTAACCTGTCACCTGGGACTCCCTCGTCCAGCAGCCCCTCTGCAGACACACAGGAGAGGCAGTGGGGTTGTATCCTGCTGACTATTCAGGCCAGAAACACGCCTGCCCCTGCACACGCCGCCTGCACGGAAAGAGGGCCGCAGCCCAGAGCCTGCAAAGCTGAAGGCATCTGGGATCTTATCAAGGCTCTCAGAGTTCATCTAACAATTTTGTTTCATAAACAAGACAACCATGGCTAACAGGAGACTCTGCCGAAACACCAGAACTGGAGACTGGGTGCCTGACTAGGACCCGAGGTTCACTCCCTGACGTCCAGCCAACAACAAGCTCGGGGCATAGAACCGAGAGCCCTTTATGGCTAAGACACTCCCCCTCGCTTCTGCCACAAGATGCCCACCCGAGTCCTTACTGTGAACGGACGTGCACCCCAGGGGTTCTGAAATGAAGGCGTCAGAGAATCTTTTCCCCACTGCCCCCAAGATCCAGCATGATTTGGGGGTTTGGGTGCAATGAGAGAAATGTGCCTGACATCCTAGACTCTGTAAGAATAAAATCCTGAGACTGAAGGCGGTGAAGGTGAGCGTCAGCGGCTGGGAGGGAACAGAGCAAAGCACGCAGGGCTGCACGGCTCGGTTGAGCCTCTGGCTATGGGGCGGTGTTCGTCTTCTAACAAAAGACCCCACCTCCATCCTCAGGGCTCACGGTGGCTGAGGACCAGGCTTGCACTTCGTATTCCTAGTGTATTTCCCACCCAGGTATTTACAGTAGTTCTTCTTGGGACTTCCACGGTGGTCCAGCGGCTAAAACTTCATGCTCTCAATGCACGGGACCTAGGTTTAGTCTTTGGTCAGGGATCTAAATCCCTCACGCCACAACTAAAGAACCCCACACGCTGCAATGAAGATCAAAGACTAAGCATCTCAACTAAGACCAGTGTGGCCAAATAAATAATATACATCTATATATTTTACAGTTAATTTTCCTTTCCATTTTCTTATTTAGCCAAGCAAAACAGTATGTCTTACTACTCCGCACAAAAATCACAAACAAGTCAAATAAGCATTATGGGAACTGACAAGAAACTCACTGTATTAGACACACAATATCAGAACATTTCTGTCCTCAAAGGAAAGAGAAGGAAAGAATCCAAAGAAAAATTATATTTAGGAAAATGAATAGTGATTTTGCAGTTATTTTTCCGAAGGAGGAAAAGCTGCTGGTACCAAAGACAGGATACCTGTTCCTCTTCCAGAAGAATCAGAGCGACAATGGCAATGTTGATGTTCCCTCCTATTGTTCCGTCTTTGAATAAAGCAGACACCTGGGAAAGACAGGTAATTCATGTCAGTCCCTATACCTGACACCCTTTCCCCCAGCCCTTAGCCTGGAGTTCACAGTTGAAAGCCAATTCCGTGTTCTCCACTGATAGAGCAACGTTCGGCTTCTCATTGCTAGACACACAGGGATGTGAAGTACAAGTGTGAAAGTGAAAGTGTCAGTCGCTCAGATGTGTCTGAGTCTTTGCGACCCCATGGACTGTAGCCCACCAGGCTTCTCTGTCCATGGGACTCTCCAGGCAAGAATACTGGAGTGGGTAGCCTTTCCCTTCTCCAGGGGATCTTCCCCACCCAGGGATTGAACCCAGGTCTCCTGCATGGCAGGCAGATTCTTTACCATCTGAGCCAACAGGGAAACCCAAGACACACAGGTATGGGAACATCTAATCACACCAACTGTTGGGCCCTTACTGTTGGTGCCTGGAAGTAAAACAATGAAGTCTGGGGAGGCAGGTCCCACGTGTATCAAACACCAGTGAAGGGCTCACAAGGCCCCAGTTGGTAAGTGTCCTCATTAGAATACAGGGAAGTTTCTTTTTTAACTTACAGTGATGACCCACAGGGGAGCACTCCCCAAGCTGTCCTAGCGAAAGATTCCAGAAGCTTAAGAGAAGTTCTTGGGAAAAGACCAAGAGGATACAAGAAAGAGAAGGAAATCAATGTAGAAAGAAGGTCATCAAGGGGAGATGCAGACATTAGAGATGAAAGTCACAGGCATAGGAAAGAGTGCTCAGAGTGGCATTTGAGGCAATGAGTGAGGATGAGTCAACGGCCCCGGGAAGCTCCAGGGAGTTCATTTGGCACCAAGATGTCGAAATTCGGGAAAAGCTCAACAGAACAGAGGGAATGTCTGCAAATGTCAGAGACCTGCAGCGGCGGGTGCCTCCGGGTCACCACCTCCCTCAGTCCCCTGGGAGATCGGAAACCATGAGGGTCTGGCCGCCAAAAACAAGGACAGTGAGAGCAGCCATGCCGAATCACGGCAAACTGAATCATATTTAGGGGTATTCTGTCTATCGGGGTGTGAAACGTATGTTTCAAATACTGTCATCACAACTATTTAAAAAATGCACTTTGATGGCCCCAAATTTTGTCTTCTGTTACGCAGATTCCACTTAGGTGGTATGGGGCTTAGACACCACTCACCACACTTTAGTAAAGACTAGAGCTTCCAAGTAGAGACGAAGCCAGACACATTTTTATCTGCAGTGACATTTAAAAAAATTTTTTTTTATTGGAGTATAGTTGCTTTACAGTGTTGTGTTAGTTGCTGCTGTGCAGTGAAGGGAGCCGGTTATGTGTATTATATGTATTACATGTATTGCATGTATTACATGTATTATATGTATGCATTGTTTGTTATTGTTGTTGGGTCACAGAGTCGTGTCTGACTGTCGTCCCATGGACTGCCAGGCTCCTCTATCTGTGGGATTTCCCAAGCAAGAATACTGGAGTGGGTTTCCATTTCTTTCTACAAGGGATCTTCCCAACCCAGGGACTGAACCTATATCTCCTGCACCGGTAGGCAGACTCTTTACTACTGAACCACCAGGGAAGCCCCATGTGAACATATATCCCCTTGTTTTTGGATTTCCTTCCAATTTAGGTCACCTCTCCAGTGACATTCTAATTGGTGTACTGCTTCTTGTTCTTGTAGATAAAATAATGTGTATTTTATATTCATATTCCTAAAAAGATGAGCACTTCTATGTGCTGTGTGCTAAGTCACGTCAGTCATGTCCAACACTTTGCAACCCCCTGGACTGTAGCTGCCAGGCTCTTCTGTCCATGGGGATTCTCCAGGCAAGAATACTGGAGTGGGTTGCCATGCCCTCCTCCAGGGGGTCTTCCCAACTCAGGGATCAAACCCGGGTCTCCCGAATTATGGGAGGATTCTTTACCATCTGAGCCACCAAGGAAGACGGGCATTTCTATAGGGCCATCTGAAATCACACATATATAATGCCAATGTGCAGGCTTACTGCACTCAAAAGTATTAGCATCCTCTTGGAGAGTTCTGATAAGTGGAAACATCATACACTTGAAATATGTTACCGGCTTACAGAGAGGGCCAAATTGTTCATCCTCCAAATTTTATTCTCTGAAGGACTGAAAATGGCTTTTCTGATTGGAGCATAGTAAAAGTGAAGGCGCTGTCACGGATAAAGTATTTCTTGTGTACAAAACATAAATCCACAAGTAAAAGCAGGAGGTAAATACACACTCATGCACACACCATGAGGTAGAATTACAGATGACTCAGAGAGAAGGACATGCCTACCATGTTGAGTATTGTCAGCACGTAGGTGGTGATATTTTCATGGCCATGGTTTAGCATCATTTTTTTGTCAACCACAACCAGCGTCTCCACGTTCAGCTCTTCGTTCCTATGGGACTTCAGAAGGGATCGCTTGTGCCTTACACATGATTTATATTCATCCGGCAAGATGAAAAGGTCTTCTTTGGGAGGCTTGGGCGTGTCTACAGGGGGGTGTTCAGAGAGGAAATAAAAGTCATCACATGAAATCAGTGGCAGAGCTAAAGAAAATGGATTTTAAAAATGAATGTTTATGAAATGAACCATAAAATCCTTAAAACTGTGACTCGAAATGTGTTAACGTAGAACACTACATTTAAATAAAGTTTGCATAGTCTAGATGTCATAGAATTCATTGTTATATTGACTTTTGTAGAAGTTTCTCCTGATTTAAAACAAAATGATCTGTATAATCAAAGCTGTGCTTTTTCTAGTAGTTATGTACAGATGTTAGATTTGGACCATAAAGAAGGCTAAGTGCTGAAGAATTGATGCTTTCAAACTGTGGTGTTGGAGAAGACTCTTGCGAGTCCCTTGGACAGCAAGGAGATCAAATCAGTCAATCCTAAAGGAAATCAGTCCTGAATATTCATTGAAAGGACTGATGCTGAAGTTGAAGCTCCAATACTTCGGCCAAGTGGTGTGAAGAGCTGACTCACTGGAAAAAACCCTGATGCTGGGAAAGACTGAAGCAGGAGGAGAAGGGGACGACAGAGGATGAGATAGTTGGATGGCATCACTGCCTCAATGGACATGATTTTGAGCACACTCTGGGAGTTGGTGATGGACAGGGAAGCCTGGCATGCTGCAGTCCATGGGTTCGCAAAGGGGTGAACCCAACTGAGTGACTTGATAACAAAAAGAAAAAGATCACTTTCGCTCTGAAGCGCTGGTGCTTAAAAGCAAGATGTTCCAAGATTGTGAACATGAGGGTATGTGCAACAGGGCTCTGAAAAGAAGTCACTGACAGAGCAATAAAACTAATGATTACAAAAAGAAGTGCTGTCTTACATGGTGTTCTTATTTGAAGACTTTTAATGACCTAAGAGGTTTTAAAGTTGATTCCCAGGTCTGGACACACAGCTGGATTGTCTGTAGTATTTCCAGTGGGTTATAAATACACAGGCGGATAGTCTGTTGTATTTCCAGTAGGTTATAAATGCTCCAGACAGATCCACTGTAGAACTGAATTTCCTCGAAAGTATTATAAATATTTACCTAATTTAACTGGAAGACAAAATAGACTTGGTCCTCTTGGAGCAAGCTGTTTAAAAATAGTTTTGGCTTTGATAATCAGGAAGTTGACACTATGCTAAAAACAGCCAGGTCTGGTGGATGCCTCAGAAAATGTGGTTAGAATTGCGCCGTGTGAAAGTATCCACGTATTTAGGTGGCACTAATTCAAAAGCTATGCCAGCTCTGCTCATACTCAGCTAGAAGACACTGTTTTGATAGACTGACACATCCGCTGCATTTTATCTCTCTTTGCTAAAATATTTGCAAACTTAAAAAAACTCTTGGGAGGATAACAGTTACACTGGCTACAGTTTAATAAGCACTCATCACGTGCCATTTGCACTGATGCAGTTTACACTGATGTGGTCTCCCCCGTAAGAGATGTCTATGTATAGCCCACTCACTCTCTACACCAGCCACGGGTAGGAGCGAGGCCACCGAGGCACGGGAGATGAACATCACTTTCTCTAAATCCCTCCCTAGAAGGCGTTGGGAATGGATTTCAGATCTGGCAGTGTGGTCCCAGGGCCCTTAGCCTTAATTTCCATAAGTACAGGGTACAAGTGGAGATGGGAACCCAGCGGTTCCCCAGGCCCTCAGTACTGGAAAGAGGCAGGAGCACCGAGGTGGTGGTCTCACTGGCCTGGGGTCTGACAAGCCCCTCAAAACAAGTCACCCACTCAATACGGTCCCACAGTGTCTCCCGCCACATGTGAGTCCCAGCTCAAAACCCACCCGCGATGCATCAGCTAGAAGCAGCAAGCTACCGTTTGAGCCTGAGGTTCAGCGTCATGATTGATTTTTGGCAAATCAGCCTGATTTTCTCTGCCCTTTTCAACAGAGAGAGATAGCTAAACACACAGGAAAGTGAAAGGGTTAGCTGCTTGGTCGTGTCCGACTCTTCATGACCCTGTGGTCGGCCCATGGAATTCTCTAGGCAAGAATCCTGGAGTGGGTTGCCATTTCCTTCTCCAGGGAATCTTCTCCACCCAGGGACTGAACCTGGGTCTCCTGTATTGCAGGCAGATTCCTTACTGTCTGAGCCCCCAGGGAAGCCTAAACACGCAGGAAAATCCCTCATCTCCTGAACAGAGACTCTAGGGAAGAACCCTTGTAGGTGTAAACCCCGCTGAGACAGAAGGTGGAGATTCCTCCAGGGAAGCCCAAAGCCTCATGGAAGCAGTTTACACTGATGTGGTCTCCCCCGTAAGAGATGTCTATGTATAGCCCACTCACTCTCTACACCAGCCACGGGTAGGAGCGAGGCCACCGAGGCACGGGAGATGAACATCACTTTCTCTAAATCCCTCCCTAGAAGGCGTTGGGAATGGATTTCAGATCTGGCATTGTGGTCCCAGGGCCCTTAGTCTTAATTTCCATAAGTACAGGGTACAAGTGGAGATGGGAACCCAGCAGTTCCCCAGGCCCTCGGTACTGGAAAGAGGCAGGAGCACCGAGGTGGTGGTCTCACTGGCCTGGGGTCTGACAAGCCCCTCAAAACAAGTCACCCGCTCAATACGGTCCCACAGCGTCTCCCGCCACATGTGAGTCCCAGCTCAAAACCCACCTGCGATGCATCAGCTAGAAGCAGCAAGCTACCGTTTGAGCCTGAGGTTCAGCGTCATGATTGATTTTTGGCAAATGAGCCTGCTTTTCTCTGCCCTTTTCAACAGAGAGAGATAGCTAAACACACAGGAAAGTGAAAGGGTTAGCTGCTTGGTTGTGTCCGACTCTTCATGACCCTGTGGTCAGCCCATGGAATTCTCTAGGCAATCCTGGAGTGGGTTGCCATTTCCTTCTCCAGGGAATCTTCTCCACCCAGGGACTGAACCTGGGTCTCCTGTATTGCAGGCAGATTCCTTACCGTCTGAGCCCCCAGGGAAGTCTAAACACGCAGGAAAATCCCTCATCTCCTGAACAGAGACTCTAGGGAAGAACCCTTGTAGGTGTAAACCCCGCTGAGACAGAAGGTGGAGATTACTGCAGGGAAGCCCAAAGCCTCATGGACAGTGTGGGAATGTCCTGTCCCACGCTGTCAGATAAGGGAGCCCTGAGGGTTAAGTGCTCAGCCCAGAGGGATGTGCACCACTTCTGCTAGGAGTGGCCCCAGCTGCTCGGGGGGCCGGGCACAGAACCGCCACGTGTCCTGCAGGAGCGGGCAGAGATGCCAAGTCAACAGCACCAGATCAACCACTGATGTCGCCCACCAGTGAGAGGCATTTTCTGCCACCTTTTTTCCAGTTTTATTATGAAAACATAATGCTTTTCAGGTCTACTATAGCCTTCTACTTCTCTGTATATTCATTCTATTAATTTCTGACAGTTTGATATTGAAACTTCAACTAAAAATCCTCATCTACTTAAAAAAAATACCTGTAATATATAGTGGAACTACATGTAACCTTTTTTTTTTTGCATTTTCCAAGACTCCTGTAAATGAGTTATCATACTTTTGTAATTTAAAAAATTAAGATTAAAAAACAGAAAAAAATGGCTACATTTTCCCATTTTCCAACTGCAAGTCTTATTGTATAATTTAGTGTCTTATTCAGCTACTCCCTCTCACCAACCAGACTCCACTACTGAGGTTTTGAAATGCCTCTGGAGGCAAATTCATCGACACACGTGCACACAAACACACGTGCACAGACAGTCACACCAAACAGAACAATCGTACTGCCCTGCATGCCCAGGTGCACTGCCTTTGAGCTACAGGCCTGAATGACTCCGCTCACTCCTGATAAGAATGAAAGGGTCACATTCATTCCAGAAGGGTCAGCACTGCTGGATGGCTCAGAAACACTGAAACATCTGTGTCGGGCCCTGGCGCGGCCTGTCAAAGAGGTGTGGACAGCCCTGTCCATCTCTCCTGCCTGGATCCAGGTGCTTGGTCATCTTCCTGTCTCCGACACATGGAGTCAGTCCTGCTCTGACCACGCCCTCACCGGGAGCCCCGCCAGCACCTTCCTGGCTCTGACCTTGTCTGTGCCTGAGTCCCGCCTCTCTGCTCCAACTGGTCTCACCCCGCCCTGATCTGTCTGGCCGCGCCCCTGACCTGCCTGGCCCCGCCCCTGGCCTATCTGGCCCCGCCATTGGTCTGTCTGGCCCCGCCCCGGCCTACCTGGCCCCGCCATTGGTCTGTCTGGCCACGCCCACCCACCCCCCGCCGTCTGCGCAGACTCAGGAAGCCACTGCTGGTCAGTGTGAGCTGCTCTGAGGCTCACTCAACTGGGCTTCCCTGACCTTCTCACCCTCCTGTTCGCTCTCCTTGTGCTCAACACTGTTCTGCTGCCTCCCCTAAGACCCAGCCCGCTCTTGGTCAGTTTGGGATGACCTTTTTGAGACGGTCTGAATGTAGTCCGAGACTGAGTTGCAGGACGTGCGTTCAGATGACACATGGGTGCGAACAGGTCAGCCACTCCTGTTCTTCTGTCATAGATGCCAAGTGATTCTGGGTCACCCTCTCTTCTCTGCAGCATGTTATGGAGCCCCTGCATGTGCCCACGCGTATGTGAGAGTGCTGGCCCAGCGGCCAACGAAACTCAGCAGCAGAGAAGGGTGGGCTTCCAGAAGCTCCTTGGGAAAGGTTTGCTATTAATAAATAAAGCCATGCTTGAGGGGAAAGCTGAAGCAAATGAGGACAAGTCCAGGAAACACTGAACTCCTATTCCTGAGTCTGTGAGAGCTTCCTACATAAAACGTAAATATAATTTCTCTTCCTAAATGTTAGTGACACAAACAAAGAGGACTTCGATAAAGCCTTGGTGAAAAAATGTAGGTAAATTACACCACGCATCCTGTGTCTTCTGACATGATGAATGAGGTATATAAACCTGCCTAGGGATAAATCACCTCAGTGGGAAAAGCATGTCAGGTTTAACAAATCTAGACCTCAAAAATATAGTTACTGGGTAGACACACCAAGATTCTTTTGCAGATGTCTGGTGGAGGAGTCTACATTTACGGGAATCAGGTAATTTAGTCTGCCCAGGGATCAGCTCTTAAAATTAAAAAAAAAAATCTACCTTTATCCATATGCCATGGAAAGATGTTTTATTCTGAACATCCAGATGATGGGTTCTCTTTGGAATTATCACTTAGGATCAGCAAAGGTGGTCAATAAATTTCACCTCGAGGGCAGACTACTTTGAAGAAAATTAAAAATACTCCAGTGTCTTACTTAACGTCCTAATTGTTAAATTAAAAAAAGAATCGTCCTTACATACATTTCTTGCGTCTTCCGCAGAAATGCTGCTTCTGTGGGTGCCTGAAGCTGAAGCCGCGTGGGGATTGACCTTCGTGGTGGAAGAGATGGTGGCCTTCCAGCTCCCACTTTTTCTCCATCATCGCGACCCGGTGGGGCCCCAGGGCCGGTGGCTCCGTGGATCTCTTGTACAGGATGTGGGAGGGAGGCCTGCCCCCCGTGGAGTCACTGGGGCTCCCTGCCAGGTGTGAAGGGAGGGGCTTCAGGAAGTAGTCCGCCTCCTGGGTTCTTATCATGCCTGACTGCAGAAGAGAGAGGGAGAAAGAAAGGTGCATCACTGCTTTATCATCTGCTCACAAACACACTGTTCCCTCCAGGGAGAACCTTGGAATGGGAAATGGCAACCCACCCCAGCATTCTTGATTGGAAAATTCCATGGACAGAGGAGCCTGGAGGGCTGCAGTCCCTGGTGTCCCAAAGAGTCAGAGAAACACACACACACACACCACACACACACACGGCTCCCTCCAGGGAGGACCCACGTGCAAAAGGGTCACGTAGGGGGCTGAGAATTAGGGGACCAGGGGTCCACTCCTGAGCCCTTTCCACCCCATCTTTTCAGGGACAGTGGTGTGGAGGTCAAAGGACTTGACCCTTGGAGCAGAGAGAGAGCACACAGCAGACCAAGGTCAGGTCCTTCACTGGAAAAAATGGTGAAGAACACACAGCCCTGGATAGTAATACGGGCCGGGATGGGTGGGGGAGCTGCCAAATAAAGACATAAAGTTATAATCTCAACATAGTCCACTGTTTTCTTCTAGTTTTATGCACTGTTTGTTGAAGAAGGCCTTCTTATCTCTCCTTGCTATTCTTTGGAACTCTTCATGTAGTTGGATAAAACTCCCCCTTTCCCTCACTTTTTTCATCTCTTCTCTAGAAGAAAACAACAGAAGAGGAAAGACTAGAGCTCTCTTCAGGAAAACTGGAGATATCAAGGGACCATTTCACCCAAAGATGGGCTCAATAAAGGACAGAAACAATAGAGACCTAGTAGATGCTGAAGAGATCAAGAAAAGATGGAAAGAATACACAGACGAGCTGTACAGAAAAGATCTTAATGAACCAGACTATTGTGATGGTGTGGTCAGTCACCCAGAGCCAGACATTCTGAAGTGTAAAGTCAAGTGGGTCTTAGGAAAAACTGCTGCTAATAAAGCTAGTGGATGCAATGGAATTCCAGTAGAACTATTCAAAACCCTAAAGGATGATGCCATCAAGGTGCTGCATTCATTGTCAGCAAATCTGGAAAGCCCAATAGTGGCCACAGGACTGGAAAAGGTCAATCCTCATCCCAGTTCCCAAGAAGGGTAGTACTAAATAATGTTCTAATCATCAGACAACTCTAAAGGCAGAAAGCGAAGAGGAACTAAAGAGCCTCTATGTGAGGGAGGAGAGTAAAAGGGTTGGTTTAAAACTAAATATTAAAAAACTAAGACCATGCCACCGGCCCCATTACTGCATGGCAAATAGAAGGGGAAAATGTGGAAGTAGTGACAGATTCCCTCTCCTTGGGCTCCAAAATCACTGTGGACGGTGACTGCAGCCATGAAATCAGAAGACGACTGTTTCTTGGCAGGAAAGTGATGACAAACCTAGACAGTGTGTTGAAAAGCACAGACATTACTCTGCAGACAAATGTCCGTATAGTCAAGGATAGTGGTCTGCTTAATGGTCATGTACGGTTGTGAGAGCTGGACCACAAAGAAGGCAGAACGCCAAAGAATTGATGCCATTGAACTGTGGTGCTGGAGAAGACTCCCGAGAGTCCCTTGGAAGCAAGGAGGTCAAACCAGTCAACCTCAAGGGAAATCAATCCTGAATACTTATTGGAGTGACTGATACTGAAGCTGAAGCTGAAGCTCCAGTATTTCGGTCATCTGATGAGAACAGGTGACTCACTGGAAAAGTTCCTGATGCTGGGAAAGACTGAGGGCAGAAGGAGAAGAGGGCAACAGAGGATGAGACGGCTGGATGGCATCACCAATGCAATGGACATGAACTTGGGGAAACTCTGGGAGATGGTGAGGGACGGGGAGGCCTGGTGTGCTGCAGTCAGTCCATGGGGTTGCAAAGAGTCAGATGTGACTGGGAAACTGAAGGAACGAACAGATATAGTCAGCAGCAAAACTCTATTCAACCTGGATATGATGTGACACTTTCTATAAAAGTGTAACAATGAAATTAATCCAGTAGGAAGCAAAAAGGAATAGTTTAGGGAATTGGGGAGATCTTTCTAAACAAAGTAATTGGGAAATAGAAAAGAATTGATTACAAAAGTTAAAAAGAAAGGACAGTATAACAGACAATGAAGCACAATGACAAAAGTATCTTAAGAGAGAGAAAACAGAGAGACCACCTTTTACGTTTTAGAGTGACAAGGACTTTTAAAGCTGATAACTGTTGGGAGGAATGAGAACAAACTGGTAGTGTGACCCCGGGAAAGGGTGAACTGGGGCCCCACCTGGCACATCTATCAACATTGAAAATGTATAATTTGATTCCAGAATTTTAACCCTTTGGAATTCTTGTTTAATTTATTTTTAATTGAAGGACAATTGTTTACCATATTGCAGTAGTTTCTGCCATACAGCAACCTGCATCAGCCACAGGTATACATAGGTCCCCTCCCTCTAGAACTTCCCTCCCACCTCCCACTCCAGCCCACCCTCTTAGGTTATCACAGAGCATGGGGTTTGAGCTTGTGTGACACAGCAAACTCCCACCAGCTCTCTGTTTTACATATGGTCTTGTATATGTTAATGCTACTCTCTATTCTTCCCTAGAACCTATCATACAGGGTGAAGTAAGTCAGAAAGAGAAAAAGCAGCTATCGTATATTGCCGAATGCATCCAGCAGGCACTTCCCCAGTATTGATACATATTTGTGAGTGTATAATTTAGTCATTGTTTATAATCATTTAAAAGTACAGACAAAACAAATTAATAACAAAAATAAGAAATAATGTTTATCAATTAGTTCAGAGTGATTTTTAAGGTATATTTTTGTATTGGGAGAGTATATAACCATTTTAAAAGGCCAGGTAATTATGTCCTGATGATAATCTTAAGTAAACACTTTTGTGTGAGCCCCTAAGACTATGGCCAACATTGCCTGTATTACACCTTATTTATCACAGGCATTCTGGAAGGTTGGTATCACTCTGCTCTTCCTTCTATGGACAAGGAAATACAGAGTCTGGCTGACTAAATAACATATTCAAGGTAACCTGGGAAAGTATGAGGATTTGAACAAAATCAAAGTAAGTTCAAAACCTGTAAGGTTTTACGCTTATAATGTAGGATTCCCAGAAGTCGTTAATTTTTTTTAAGTGTATGCTGCTACTGCTGCTGCTACCAAGTCACGTCAGTCGTGTCTGACTCTGTGCAACCCCATAGACGGCAGCCCACCAGGCTCCTCTGTCCCTGGGATCCACCAGGCGAGAAGAGTGGAGTGGGTTGCCATTTCCTTCTCCAGTGCATGAAAGTGAAAACTGAAAGTGAAGTCGCCCAGTCATGTCCGACTCTCCATGAACCCATGAACTGCAGCCCACCAGGCTCCTCCGTCCACGGGATGCTCCAAGCAAGAGGACTGGGTGGGTTGCCACTGCCTTCTCCTTTAAAGTGTATAATAAAGTATTTAGTGTGATTCCAAATGTGTTCGTGTTTTTAAGTGTACATCTCCACTTAAAGTATTTTCCTAAAAGGGCTAATGAAAAATTGCCGAAGCTGGTTATGTTCAGGGAGAGAAAATCAAGGAGGAGGGATGTAGGAAGAGAATTCCACGTCCATTTTTACATCTTTAGGCATTACTCAAGTTTGTAAAATCTGTGTGCATCATTACCTTAAAAATATCAATAGCATTGCTGGATCTGGGATGACAGATGAGATTTTAAAATCCTTATGAGTGTTTTAAAATACTTTATAGTTTTAGAATACAGTTAACTATTCCTACAGAACTATTAAGGTATCACTTAGCATTCTCCAATATAGCATTGTAAGAGTGCTGATATTTTCCTAATTATTTTCATAATTCAGCACATGATTAGACACTTACTAGGTACTCAGAGACACTGGTGCTTGGGTGCCTGTTCTCAGTGAGCCTCTGATTTAGGACCTGAGGCTGACCCTCATCTGGGGGGACCCAGTGCCCATCACCGCCCACCAAACTCAGTTCTGTGGGTGCTGAGCTGTCCCGCACGGGTCTGAGGTTTGCACAGGGTGGGATGACAGGCATGGAGAAGCCCTTCTCGGATGGCAGGAAAGTGTCAAATGCAGCTCTCAGGGACCGGGGGGTGGGGTGGACACAAAAGAGAGGGGACACCAGGCTTATCGTGCATTCAGAGGTGAAGCCCGGGCCACAGGGATCCTGCAGGTGGGGAAGGGGGAGATCAGATCCTGCGTGCGTGCTTAGTCGCTCAGTCGTGTCTGACTTTGTGACCCCATGGGCTGGAGCCCGCCAGGCTCCTCTGTCCATGGAATTCTCCAGGCAAGAGTACTGGAGTGGGCTGCCATTTCCTCCCCAGGGGAAGAGAAGGTTAACAGCAGTAAACGATCTGTGAAGCCATCAGCACTGGGGGGTAGACCTCCCACGGCAGAAATGCCAGCCTGCAGGGAAAGGTGAAATCCTTGGAATGTATGCTGCTGATCCAGGTGGTGGAGGAGGAGGGGGAGCAGGCTGTCACTGATGCTCTCCGTGGATGCCTGGGAAACCTTTTTGGCTAAGCACTCTACCAACTAAACTAGATCAGACAGTACTTTAACATCTGCAGTGCTATCAAGGAAAAGTCAAGTATGGGATTATATAAAACTGGAGCCAGGTGGGTTTCATCCTGTTGGCAATTAAATTAACTCAGGAATAGCATGAGCAGTCATGGGTGTGTTCAGCCTTGTGTGATAACATACCCACAGGGATTTCCACACTTGAAACTAGTCAAAGTGTTACATTAAAAAACAGTAATTTTGTTTCCTTAAAAGACCCTTTCCCGATATGCAAACAATGTCTTACTCTTCAAATCACCCTGAAAACACAAACGGCTCCTGTGGGTTCTCTAGAGTCAATGATGTCCGGCATCTCTGATTCAAGCCCGGATGGACTTACAGAGAACAGAGAGATGAATGAATCTGATACTCATTACTCGATTCTAACATTAAGATCTTTGTGCCTTTGGACCAGTTACTCATTCCCTCTGTGCTGTTTTGTCCTCTAGGGAGTGGATAGAAAGACAGCCACTTGCCATGAGTA